TAGTAGTATTATGATGATGATTATTATTATTATTATTATTATTATTATTATTATTATTATTATTATTATTATTATTATTATTATTATTATTATTATGTTGAAGCAAGATACTGGCGAAAGTCTTGTTATGGAGTTTTCAACACTAATTTCTCGCCCGGACATTGCGTCTCTTTTAATCCAACCCATTACATGTTTATCCTTAATCTGCTTACTGTTCAAATCATGCCATGATATTGTTTAATATTGTTTCGTTAGATGATTTATATTCTGGAAAAGCTCGACATAGACGGGAAAGATCTAAGAATTATCAAGAATTTGTACCCAGACCAAAACGCAGCTGTACGAATTAATGGAGAATACAGTGAATATACGCAGATTAAGAGAGGAGTGAGGCAAGGATGTGTTATGTCACCAGACCTCTTTAACATGTTCTGTGAAACAATCCTAAGAAACATAGAAGAATGTCCAGGTCTCAAAGTAAATGAAGAAAATGTTAATAACATCAGGTATGCAAACGACAGTTTTAATAGCGGGCTAGGAAAAGGACCTTCAATTGCTTCTAGATACTGTTGTAACAGAAAGTGAATGTAAAAGATTAGTGTTGAATGTAAAGAAAGCAGAAAGCATGGTAATATCCAAAAAAAGCAGCAAATCCTAGCAACAGTTTAAATATCTAGGATATATTATGATAACATCTGATGCGAAATGTTCCACAGAAATAAAACAGAGAATTACAATAGCTAAGGCGTGTTTCAATAAAATGAGCCCAATCCTGAAAAGTAGAAACATCTCAATGAACACCAAAATGAAAGTTATGAAATGCTATGTATGGTCAACCCTTCTAAATGGCTGTGAATGTTGGACAATTACTAAAGACAGTGAAAATAAAATGGAAGCAACAGAAATGTGGTTTCTTAGGAGACTGCTAAGAGTATCGAGGAAGGAAAAGAAATCAAATGAGGTGGTGCTTGATGAAGCCCATGTGGGACACGCAATGTTAAAAACAACCAGGAAACAACAAATCCAGTTTTGGGGACTCCTGAATAGACTGAAGCACTCACTGGCAAAATTGAAGGCAAACGAGGCAGGGGTAGACCCAGAACAACATACTTAGGGAACCTAAACAAATGGGTAACAGGGAAAGATCAGGGAAACGTAGATTTTTTTTTAGAGCATCTGAGCAAAGAAATGAATGGAGAACCATGATCGCCGATGTCTGTTGCAGATCTGGCACGACACGTAATACCAAATGCTGTTATTATTATTATTATTATTATTATTATTATTATTATTGTTGTTGTTGTTGTTGTTGTTGTTGTTGTTGTTGTTGTTGTTGTTATCAAGGGCTTACTTTTCCTTTTGATTTTGACCGTATTCGTTTCCTTCCCAGGTTATAATGATAATTCAAACAAAATAGTATGTGAGGCTACTGAGCCCGTGATCATGAGATTGTGGGTTCGGGGGTTTGAGGCTCAGCTCGGTCCGACTTTGTGTCCTTGGGAAAGGCACTTTACAAAAAAATTCTCATTTGACTCGGTCCTGACGGAGATGGACATTAAAATTGAAGGCGTCGTCTATGAAACGACCGACCATGGTTTCCAGCGGCGATACACCTATGTTGTTTGCGCATTAAGTAATCCTAACACCCTCTTTTCATCTCTAGTACAATCACATAACATGGAAAGTTATTCAGTTTGCAATGAAACTGTACTCACGAGATTCTTTTTGGACGCCTTGTGTTTTTGTCTGAGATGCATGAGAGCAGAGGGCCATCTTTTTATATTTCTACTTGAATCGCAGTAGAAAATAAACGTCAGTGAAACTTGACCTTTGGTCTCCACAGGTGCTGTGACGATTCTTAGAGTGTGAAGGCTTTGGAACAGTTCGATGATCAATGTTCAAATAAGATGAATGTTAAAAGCTATCTGGAGGACTTGATGAACAAGAAAAATAGTTTAGCAAACTTCCCAAAAGTTTCGAGTTTATGTCTGTGGTTCACGCATATATTTTTTCTTCGAAACAGGCTCACTTTCAGGATATATAATTGTTTGAGTTTGATGGTTCACAATAAGAAACTCGTCGTCCTGAAGGGAAGATGGAAAATATTGAACACGAACCGAAAAAGTTTGAAATGATTGTTTTTCGGTCACGCAGCTTGTTGAATTGTCCACGCGCTCTCCGCTGTTTGTTGCAATTTGCTTTGTGTCTCCACTTTTATACAGACCCGTTTTCATATGCCCATGACGCGGACAGCGTACGTCAGAGTGTGACAACTGCCGGTGCCCCTGGGTGAGATATTCCTTCTACGTCACCTGTCTATGGTTTTGATTTTTTTGCTCCCAGAAAGTAGGGCTAAATCGGGAAGCGTGAAATGCGTCACCGTTACAGCTCCAAATAGCTTAATATGCCATACTAATGAAGACTACGGATCGGGAAATTGGTCGTCAACTGCAGGATAATTTCGAAAGAAGAAATCAAAACAGAAAATTGATACTATCAGAAAGTACAAAGCTGGTCTTCGCTGTTCCTGTGCCACGATCTGTGATAGCATGGCCGTATGGAGCAAAGAGAGGCGTAGATAGTGATTATTACGTTGAAAGAATTAAACATCGACATTCCAAAATGAGCAACGATCATACACTGCAACGTTTTGCTTTCTTCTCACTTCTGTTTCTATGCCCAATAAAAACATCCACATCGCTTTCAAATCGAATGCGGTATTGAAGAAATTTAAGCTATGACCAGTCTGCACCTTTCACTGCAGTCTGTTTGTCTTTCGACCTGGTCAATATCAGGCTCATCCTTGTTTTCTTTGCATGTTACCCTCTAGCAACACCTCTGATCTTTGGCACTTATATTCCTGTTGCAAGTGCCGCATAATTCTTACTAACACTAATGTCAGAAAAATGCCAACTGATTATAGGCCAGTGCTGTGGGTCTGCAGTGGAATTGCGTTAAAAAAAGGAAGCCAAAACTTTTCTTGGAGCTACCATATGAACAAATTATAATAGTAGAAAATCGGATCTAGTTCACTTTATTTCTGCGAAGTTCTACGCGAATTTTTTTTTATTCGAAGCAAAGGGCCTTAGAAAAAACCTCTTGATCCAGATCCTTCTAGTTTTCGCAATATAATTTAAGCCTATAGGCCCTGAAAGGAGTGGGGCCAGATCTAGCTTGTTCACCTATGGGAAAGTTAGTTAGTAATGGTATAGAAAAGAAAAAAAAACAACGTCACAACAAGGGGAATACTGTTTATATAATAATATATTGGAGAGCAAGCAAACTTTTCGGAAGCTCTCCTACATGCATACGAATGAAAGACAGGTACACACGATACACGAATCTTGTTAGCGTTTTCGACTGCTCCACGAAGATTACCTGTCAAATGTGATAGCTTGTCAGTAAATTTCCCCCCTGCCAAGTGACGTAGGAATCTCGACCTTACCACATCGAGCATTATTTAGTCTTAGGTGTGAGTCGCAAGATTTGAAAATTGTTGGTGACTTTTGGAGGAATGGACACGGTTATTTTGACACGTCTATACTCAGAGCCGGTATAATTTGCTTGTACAGGAGGTCTAACAAATGACGTATTTAAAGGACAATGACTCGATCATCTTTATATACCAACCTTTTTACATAAATAAAATTCTACTAACGGGACGTCAAATCCATTACTCTGACGAAGAAAATCTACCTACGTGTTTGAAAACTATCAAGTTATTTTAAAATTTCAGTCAAGACTGAGTAAAATGCAAAACTTGATAACCTCTCTAAAATCAACAATACCATTTATTTGTGCAGTTAAAGAACAACTTTCTTTTAACTTGACATTTTCTTTTAAAGTCTGGGGAAGTGGTGCATTTAATTTGTAATATACCTCCAGGTATTGACCATTTATCTCCTGACAAGCGCTAACACTTTGCTATAAATTTTCACCTGGCATGTTTTTGGATCGATTCTTTGAGCTTCTTATAAGAATTTCAACTGTTTGATTGTTTGTGATGTTTCCGTTGACTCTGTCTTTCAAAATTCCCCTAAGAAAAACACTGGGGCTCTCGTGGTCTAGAGGTTAAGGTTTTCGCCTCTCATTCAATAGGTCCTGGGTTCGCATCCGAATTGCGACTGAAAATTTTCTTCTCTTAAATGTTTTCCTTTCACACCCTTCCTTCTCTCTAACTTAATGTTCTGTCGTCTGCTTTCGTTTCCACTTTCTGAGGGGGAACAATTAAATACATGTAATGTGTCGTCTCCATTCTTCTTCCCACCTGTCTGTATGAAGTCAGATAGCTAAATACATAGTAGGCCTACTCTAAGATATCGAATAAAGGGGGGGGGGGGTAGGAATAAAGAGGGGGGGAGTGGACAAGTGGTCCAAAATTAATAAACGGGGGCCCGATTTGGGGGGGGGGGGGGGGCGCACATCCAACCTCATACTCATACCCCTGTACCAGTAGGAACAAATCGGTTTTATTTCTCCTTCAGTGAATAAAGGAACAAAAGATCATGAAATTTTAGTGATTTTAGTAAATTACTGAGACAATTTTTCTCATTTAGGAACTTAATACCAGTTTCATTAAAAAGTATAAACCAAAGTTTCCAAAGTTTTTTTTAAAATACACAGACAATTGAGGTAGCCAACCCGGTACCGGTACTATTACTGAGGGTAATTTGTCATTTACTAACAACAAAAAAGAAGTATCATTTTGATATAATATCTAATCTAGATTCTAGATAATATAATGTTTCGCATGACCGTCGCTCCTGGCAAGTTGGAAAATAATCAAAGGATAAACGGGGGGTATGGAATAAGGAACGGGGGTGCGCAAAAAAAACCTGAAAATGAATAAGCATGGGGGGGGGGGGGGGCGCTTATTTGATATCTTAGAGTATAGCAATAATAATTATAATAATATTATTATAAGATAATAAGATGGGCGAAAATGTAATGGTCAATCATGACGACTGGGACGAAGTTGTACTAGTTGTTCCCCGTTTCTAGCGCTCTTCTCTCTCAGCGTAAAACTGTTTAGTTTTTGACCCAGCTGCCAACATGGCGGTTCATGACTTCATGAAACTGTAAGTGGGCGTTTTCTCATGAAATCTTTTTTAACAAAATGAGTATGTTCCTTTCTGAACAGAATTTCTTCTTGAATTTGCAAACACAGATTAATGTTTGTTTCCGTGTGTACATTGCACTGATGCACTGTTTTATTTGCTGGTCTTAGTAGATTCTAGCATTTATTTTGCTAAGTAACGAGCATCGCATACAATACATCATCCGTCGGATTAGAATCTAGATTTAGATCTAGATTTCTAGATTAGATTCTAGATCTAGAATCTAGATCTAGATCTAGATCTAGATATATAGATCTAGTAGATTCTAGTGGTAATGTTAAATCTCTTGTCTTCTGTCTCTAGAATTCTAGAATAGATTCTAGATTTTCTAGGTCTAGAATCTAGATCTAGATATAGATCTAGATTCTAGATCTAGATCTACAGCTAGAGGTTAGATCTAGATATCTAGATATATATCTAGATCTAGATCTTGAATCTAGATCTAGATCTTGATCTAGATATCTAGATCTAGATCTAGATAGGCCTACATGCGACTAAACGTAGAACGACGCAAACTATTTTAGGCCACCTCTATTCTCAGGTCTGAGGAGAGTCTTTTGGCTATTCTCACCCGGTGCACGTTCACCGTTATAGCCTAGATCTAGATCTAGATCTAGGCCAACCAATTTTGCGTTCACCCTAAACCACAGAATTCTACACTGAACAGAAAAATTGTAGAATTCTGTGCTGTGAACAAACGTTCCATTACTACTGTTAGCCTACTAAAACTAAAAGCGTACAATTTTGTCTGTGGGCAGTGGAGAGAGAAAGAGAGAGAGAGAGGAGTAGCGCGAGAACTTCCGGGCAAAACAAAATGGCGACCCGGGTAGTTCGGCTCGATTCGAAAAGTTAAATAGCCGTAGCATCTTTGTAGACAGCCAAATTAATTTACTTTTGTGTTTTAACATCATTTTAAAATTTGTTTTGGTCAATTTGATCGTCCACACCGATAGACAGTATTCAGAAAGATACAGAGAGAGAGAAGAGGGGAGGAGTAGATCTTGCGAGAACTTCTGGGCAAAACAAAATGGCGACCCCCGTTGTTCGGCTCGATTCGAAAAGTGAAATAGCCATAGCATCTTTGTAGTCGATAAAATTAGCTTACTTTTGTGCTATAACGTAATCTTTTCTTTGCCTTTATCCATTTGATCATCTACATCGATAGAAAGTATTCCGAAATTAGGAAAAACAGGTCTTGTTTCACACTGGGTGAGAATAGCCTACGGTGGCAAGTCTCACCCGGGGTGAGAGGTCGATCATATTTCTATTCTCACCCCGGGTGAGAATAGCCACTTCCTTCTTTGCTGGTCTTAGTAGATTCTAGCATTTTTATTTTGCCAAGTAACGAGCATCGCATGCATCATCCGTCGGCGGTCGCCGGTGGTATGTAGCTTCTAGTGGTAATGTTAAATCTCTTGTCTTCTGTCTCTAGAATTCTAGGTCTAGAATCTAGATCTAGATCTACAGCTAGAGGCTAGATCTAGATAGGCCTAACTACATGCGACTAAACGTAGAACGATGCAAGCTATTTTTAGGGAGGAAGTGGCTATCCTCACCTGGGGGGAGAGTAAAAATACGATCGACTTCTTCTCTCCCCGGTTGAGACTTGCCAGCATTGGCTATTCTCACCCGGTGTGAAACAAGACCTGTTTTTCCTAATTTCGGAACAGATCTACTGTCTTTTGGTGTGGATGATGTGACAAAAGCGAAGAAAAAACGGAGTGTCTACGTACACGCTAACAGTAACCGGGCACTTAGTCTCAGTATCTACGTACACAGTGTAAAACCGGAACTAAATCAATATTTGTCCTGTGCTGTCACTTGCTGAAAAAAGAGAAAGTCATACAATAATGCAACTAGCATCTGTGTTTGTTGCCCTTTTTTTGTCCAAAAGTTGCTACAAAAAATGACAAAAGTTGCCAATAAAAGTTGCCACTAATGTTCAAGCTTTCAACTCTCGGTGACGACATAGCAATATGTTGATAGAGGTAACTTAATCTAAAGCTCAAGAAATTTCAATATGTTCTGTTTTAATAAGCATCCAGCACTAATCATTTGCAGCCACATATAATGGAAAAACATGAAAAAAGTAGGTTTCACAACAGAATGAAATAAAAATTAGAACAGCACATCATAAATAACTACAAAAATTAACCCAAAAAATAAGGGCGTGTGTCCATCTTTCCGAAGATTGGTCGTTTTAACCCTAAAAAGAAAAAGTACAGGATATTACATCGCGGCCGCGACAAACGCAGATGCTAGATACAAGCGTCTTGTCGGGCTCACCATCGTGACAGGTCAGTGAACCTGCATGTGTGCATCACATTGTGAGTACCGGTTGGGTCACCAAAGTTCATTCAAAGTCTGTGCGCTGGGAAGTATAGGACTCCGCAATGGGGGCATTATTGATTTTTTTAAAGGTACAGTCGAGGGAGGGGTGGGGATGAAGGCCACACCGGATGACAAAGGCTGAACTTGGAGTTCTGAACTGCCCGGTTACTGTGTACGTGACACTGAAACTACATGCCCGGTTGCCGGTTACCGTGTGTACGTGATATTGAGGCTACGTGCCCGGTTACTGTGCACATAACACTGAGACTACGTGCCCGGTTACCATGTACGTAGACACTGAGGCTAGATCTAGGTGGCTGGTTACTGTGTACGTAGACACTCAGAAAGAAAAAATGGTCCTTTTTTGGTAGTTCCCACCCCCCTTATTTGAGCTTCTAGATATATAGATCTATACGTTTGATGCGCGGCGAGCTAAGATATTATCAAACCTAACAACTGCAAAAAATAAAATTATGACCTGGTAGAATCAGGCTCCCACCTTATTTTTATGAGGTCCCCCCCTGAAACCCCCTTACTCTCAGGGCCAAAACCAGTGAATAACAATTGCAGGTTGGGAGCTACCGAAAAAATGACGTTAAAGCACAAAAGTAAGCTGATTTGATCGTCTACAAAGATGCTCTATGGCTACTTCACTTTTCGAATCGAGCTCAACTACACGGGTCGCCATTTTGTTTTGCCCAGAAGTTCTCGCAAGATCTACTCCTCCACCTCTCTCTCTCTCTCTCTCTCTCTCTCTCTCTCTCTCTCTCTCTCTCTCTCTCTCTCTCTCTCTCTCTCTCTCTCTCTCTCTCTCTCTCTCTTTCTCTCTCTCTCTCTCTCTCTCTCTCTCTCTCTCTCCCTCCCCCCCCCCCTCCCTCCCTCTCTGTCTCTCTCTCCCCCCCTCCCTCCCTCTCTCTCCCTCTCTCTCGCCACCCACAGACATAATTGCACACTTTCAACACAAGAGCGCTGGAACGTTTGTTCGCGGCACAGAATTCTACACTTCTGTATCACAGTGGTTCACTGTGAATGCTTCACTGGTTGGCATAGGCTATCATGGTGAACGCACACCTGATGAAAATGGCCAAAAATCTCGCCTGCGCTATTCTCACCCGGGGTGAGAATAGAGATGGCCTTTTAGATAAGGCAGCCATCTTGTGTGACGTCAGACCAGGGGCATTTAAATCAGTATCGATCAGTAGTCTTTTTTAGTGTGATATAGTGCTAGGCCTAGATCTAACGGGACCGCAGTTGTACAGGAGTGCCTGACCAGGATACCCCTCTGATCACGTGACTACGTTTTAAAAATAGCCAACCGCCTGTCACCAAAGATCGTGTGTAGAGAATCTTTGATATATAGATCTAGATCTATAGCACGATGCTTTGGCTTTGGTGCGATGTTTTTCTAGGAATACCGGTAATGTGATATGATGCAGTGTTCCAATGATACTGCTGCTTTTCTCTTTTGTGCCTTGTTTGTCATGCTCGAGGGGGGGGGGGGGGGGGTAATCTTCAGGCGTCTTTACTGCAATTTCCGCACACTTTATTATCTTTGTGTTTACCGTGTTTCAATTTCAAGTATCACTACCGGAATTCCGAAATGTTATTGACATACCGGAAGCCTTGTAACCAATCAGACAGCATGGATGACAGGCTGCATTTAGCTGCAAGTGTGAAATTTTATCATGCGAAACACATTGACACTGTATAATATTTCAAGTCACTGACCAAACATGTCGTTCCATTCGGTATCTCCAAAGATTCTCTACCACATGATCTTTGGTATCTCCAAAGTCTTCTAAACATAGTTTGTGGGTATCCCAGGATGTGATGACATCACATTACTAAAATTAGCCGCCAATCAGGCAGATGTGTCGTTCTACGTTTAGCCACGTATGTATCAAAATCTATTCTATATCTATCTTAGTAACTGTCTTCATCAATCTGTCTTCTGTTAACTGCTCTCTGGTAGATCTAAGTTGTTTTGTGTGGCTCAGTTTTCACTCACCCCTACAACAATATTATTTCGGAATTATTACTTTATAGAAAAATAAGTCAGGAAGATTCATAATGATGATGAAATAATCATAAATGAACAAGAACATGAGAAAGATAGCCTTCTTAGATTCTAAAACTGACTGATTTCTTGATTTCTAGATGGAAGTGAGTGTTCCCGCCCTGGGTGGGAATAATTTTTTGTTTGTTATTCCCCCCTGGGTCAGGTCACTTCTGATCTTTCCTATCTATCTAGATATAGTTTTATAAGATGTAATACAGGCTGAAGGCCGACCTTTAAACCTGGGGTGAGAATTAGACACATTTCCTCTGGCAGATCTAAGTGCTAGATCCAGATCTAGATCAGTCTAGTACACCTCTACTATTTAATGCTGGGAGTGGAAATATTGAGCTCATTCAAACGAGAGTGCTAATGCAAAGGGGAAAAAATGTCACTTTTAGCTGTTGAATGTTTTTTGTCATATCAAAAGGGGTGGGGGTGAGTAAAATATGTTTATTTCCCTCCGGGGGAAGGCGGGGGGGGGGGGGGATTTAAGAGAAAATCTCATATCCACCCGGGGGGTGAATTAAATATTTTTGAATCCCCGTAGGGGGGTGGGAATAAGAGAAAATGTTATTCCCTCCCGGGGTGGGAACAATGGTAGAGCCTTTCTAGATCTAGAGAATCTAGGCCTACCATGTAAAATGATTAAATGTATTCAAATCAATGATGTAGATCTAGATCTATAGGCTAGTAAATAAATTATAGTCCTGATATAGGACTAATCATAACAGAGTAGGCCTAGATAGTTTATTAAATTTTGATTAGATCATTGAAGAATAGCCAAATACTATTCTAAGTGCAATGGAAATGCAGCTCTTGTGTCAACTTGTGCTCTGGGCTCTAGCTGAATGATTTTCTTGAAGAGTGGCTGTTTAGGGCATATAATTGCAAGTGTGGCAACATCTTGATTCGAACTTAATGTATAAGCAAAAAGTTCTTCTGATATTCATAAAATAATTTGAAATAACACTGAATTATGACAGTGAAATAAGACATTAATTCTGATGAAATAATGATTCAAAGAGAGATATAGAGATATATGTTGAAAGTTATGTTAAGATTTCAACACTTTTTCTGTGGAGGCAGTTTTCTTACTATACGGGAAACCTCTTTAAGTACGAAACAGAGTGACATACACTTCAATAAATCGGTCATTACATCAAAAAGATTGAACTTTTGTTCATAGTGATAGTTCTTAATCATCATGAAAGAGTTCTCGGTAAGAGAAACCACAATTTGGAAATTGACGAAAATTAGTTAATAAATTCATGTCTTTGTCATTGTAAAGGATTCTGACGAAGCTACTATTAAGTAACTAACAGACAGTGGAACACGGGCATTACTGTTCTGACCTCAAGCTGCTGGGAGCAGCTTACTGAAGATTTTAAAAAATTGATTTTTGCCATTTTCTTTCTTTACACAGTCACATTACTTCAGAGAAATTTATTGTGGAACCAGTGTCTAACTCAGCAGGACAGGAAGATGTTCTTGTTATTGATCGACTCACACAGGAAATTTCCCTCCAAAGTAAGTGTCCCTCTTCCTTTGTCTTCGTCTTACAACTTTTGATTTTGTTTTGTAAAGGCTTAGCTTTTTAGAGGGATACACACTCAATATTATCACACAGAGTTTTAATAGCAGGCTCCGAAAAGGACCTTCAATTGCTTCTAGATACTGTGGTAACAGAAAGTGAACGTAAAGGATTATTATTGAATGTAAAGAAAACAGAATGCATGGTAATATCCAAAAAAGCAGCAAATCCTAGTTGTAATCTCTTTAGCAAAGGGGAAAAAATCAAACAAGTCCAACAGTTTAAATATCTAGGATATATGATAACATTTGATGCCAAATGTTTCTCAGAAATGAAAAGGAGAACTGCAATGGCTAAGGCTAGTTTCAATAAAATTAGCCCAATCCTGAAAAATAGAAACATATCTCAATGAACACCAAAATGAAAGTCCTGAAATGCTATGTTTGGTCAACCCTTCTATATGGCTGTGAATGCTGGACAATCACTAAAGACAGTGAAAATAAAATAGAAGCAACAGAAATGTGGTTTCTTAGGAGACTGCGAAGATTATCGTGGAAGGAAAAGAAATCAAATGAGGTAGTACTTGATGAAGCCCACGTGGGACGCTCAATGTTAAAAAAACAATCAGGACACGACAAATGCAGTTTTTGGGACACCTGAATTGACATAAGGGTCTTGAACATGTAGCCCTCACTGGCAAAATTGAGGGCAAGCGAGGCATGGGTAGGCCCAGAACAACATACTTAAGGAACCTAGACAAATGGGTAACAGTACAGGGAAAGATCAGGGAAACATAGCTTTTTTGAGAGCATCCGAGCGAAGGAATGAATGGAAAACCATGATCGCCGATATCTGTCACAGATCTGGCACTGGATGATGATGAAACCTCCATTTTGAATCTATCAAGTCACTTAACATATAGGAAAAGCTGTGAACGTTTTATTAGGGTTTATTAAAAGGTGATTTGTTTTCAAGATTCTAAAAAGTGTGTGAAGAGAAGAAAGGAGAAGTAGTGAAAGTGAAGAGAAGCATTCTATCATGAATTGGAGTCTTTAAATTTTTGACGCTACAAATGGATTCCACAAAAATATTTGGATAAAATATACTGTCGGGCATGCCTTAACAGAAACCTGTGTAAAACGGAAACCTGTCTTAAAGAAAACTCCCTGCTCCCCCCTTGATATATTCCTCTTTAATTACCTGTATAAAACGAAAACTTGTCCAACACGGAAATGCAAAGAAAACTTCGCTCTCGTCCGAGGGTTTTACCTGTCTAAGACAGAAAATGCTTCGCCCGCTCTGTCCTTTAAAACAAAACTCGCAAGTTTGGTTCCACGGCTCTAAACTTTATGCCGCCGCTTGGCGGAGAAGGGGAGTACAAGTGCAATTTAGGGGTAGACGTTACCCCATCTACTTGAGCCCTGGGCGATGCAGATGTTCAGGGTGGTGTGGGTGCCAGTGAAAGTACTCGAGTAGCGAGCCCCCAAGGAAACTTTCCTGGGTAGCTAGCATCCAGGGGTGTGAAATTAGTTTGACCAGTGCCTGCACCCTGATCGCACGGCCAGCTAAGAAAATAATTCCTCGAATCGTTGTTACATGGCAGTGAGGGTTGGCATTGATTGACTGTGCTTGTTGCACCGATGGATGGGGCTAAGGATGGAATTAAAGGAGATTTTCAGTCACATCTGTTTTTAATAGGTCAAACAGTGGTCCATTGAAATCCAAGTACTGGTGGTAATTGGATAAGTAGGACTGACACATGTCTTCGGCGGAGAGGATAGCAGTTGAGAGGTGTGAAGTTTTGACCACTGCTTGCCTGCTGGACAAGCGATCCTTGATCCCCCTAAATTCCCCAGTCTGAGATGGAATTTTTTTTTGGCTTCCTTGCGATTCTGTCTTACACAGGTTCAACTGCACAGTCAAACACGGGTAAACTTTGAATTCGACGGGAATTGGAAATAGTGTTCGAGATTTCCGTAATATGTCATGTCCGTGGAAGCCCCCCATACAAAGAAATAGAGAGAAAATAAAGGGAGATAAAAACATTAAAACAATTAACATGGTTAACTGCCTTGACTTGGAAAGTTTGAAACAAGAGGGCCGTGTCAGTGCTGTTGCAAGGAAAATCTCACATGCGTACAGCCGACTCCTACGCCATTCCTTTCCTCTCATTTCAAATTGGTTAGAATATGAAAGTTGATATATTAGTGAGCAAAGTGGTCCTGGAATTTTCAAAATAAAGATTGACCCACAAAAAGAATAAAATGGGGTGGTAATTTCTTTAGGCGTTTTTCAAATGTTTTTATAAAGGCATGATTTTTTTAAAGAATTGAAGAGAGTTTTGGAAATTTGATGTGTAAAAAATAGCGTTCAGGTTGGACTCTCACAGACAATACATTCTCAATGTTAGAGCAATCTAGTACCTTCAATATAATAACTTTACTAGTTTAAAAAAGCTAGTGTTTTCTATTATTTGTATGAAAGGACAAATTAAAGTGTTTTCTGTTTCAGAATGTGATATTCGTCAAACTTATCAAACAAGAAGCCTTTCACTGTTTTGATGGTGACATTTGCTGTAATTGCAACCTGATTCTTTTTTTATCAAGTTTCTTTACTTGCAATAATCCTTGGTGATGTCAAAATTCAATTTACATGACCATGCAATTGATTCGGTACTTCAGATACTGGGAGAATACCAAGTGGTTTAAGAGTGCGCTCTGAAAGTTGTCATTTTGAGTTAATGTCTCTTGTCTATGTTATACAGTTTAACACGGATTGCTCGAATTCGTTGGGACAGGCCTCGATGGTTTGAGGGGTACGTGAGCAGTTTTATGGCATCGACTGTGTCAGAGAACCAAGGGAAGCAACAAAGATTGCTATCTCAGGGAAAACAATATATCGTGTGATGCACAACCCTTCCTCTCGCCCGCTCCACACAAGCCTAGCTGGACCCAATCTAGCATAAACCTAGAGCCTAGGCACACATGTCGAGCAGCGTGCTGAAAATAGCACCGCTAGCTGCTTCTGTGGAGGGGGGGGGGGTTGCGGTAGTATTTTACCAACCTGGCCTTTTCCCATATGTGTTTTATTGTTATTATTATTTTGTCTCAAGTGCACCTCAGAGGACATTGACTTTAGACGTCTATGGCGGCGTAATTGGTTTGACTATTTTGTGTTTGTGTTCGAGCTACGCGAGATTTTCTTACAAAGATAAAGAAGAAGAAAAACCAGACCTCAGGTACAGTTCGACGGATGCATGATTTCTAGTCTTCTGTGTTCAACCTATCCGTGTCATACTGTATATCCTCATGATTTGAACATGTTTGTGGAAAACTGACTTTGCCTTTTCAGGAAAGGCAGTGTTTGTATTTTCCTTGAGTTTTCTGTATGAGGCTATGTCGCCGATGGTTGTTGGATGGTCTGTTGTGGTCTATTCCATCTAGTTCTTATGTTGGTATTAACATTAATTAAACTGATCACTTCATGTGAAATCTAAGCGTTATTTTATGGCCTCTCTATAAACCGTATGAAAATGAAAGGCAATTTAATGACCCACATTATAATAAGATGAGGTGACAATTTGTATGAAAGGGTTCTTCAAATGTGAAAAAAAGATGTACGATCTCATCTTTACATTTAGATTAAGCTTTTGTCTCCAGAATTTTTTTTCCTTACTTTGACGGATTTCAGCTTCTTGCTTTTTGAGTATTTGGTTTTTGTTTTCTGTTCTGAAGGTGGTGAAAGTGGGATCCCTGCATCTGCCATCACAAAGACCATATATGGAATTGTGGGAATCATCAGACTGGTCGCAGGTAGGCTGTTTGGGTTGTTTACTACGGGTTGTTGTTTTTTTTCTATTTCCGCCTTACTTTATCAAGGGATTGGTGAAGGAATGGGGTCTAAGAGATGTTTGTGTTCTATATAGTGTTCAGCTAAGCACAGTGGTTTTTCTAAAATCATTATTATAAAGTGAAAATTGTTTTATGTGCTGGACACTGCACTGGAGATTAAAATACCTTTGTCGATTTTGAAAATCGATTAACAAATAACTTTTTAATGAATTTTAATGTCTGTGAGTTTCGTATTATTTTCCTTCTCTTTGTTAGTCCACTAAGATACATGCGCTGACTTTGAATTGATGTGCAAGTCATAAGTTCTGTCCGTATGTCTATCTGTCTGTCTCACGCTCCTCTCTCTTTCTCTCTATCTCTCCTCACCACCTCCCCCCCCTCTCATTCTCCATCATCAGTGTACATTATTATCTGCCTATCCATTATTAAAGGTATTTATATGGGGCTCTCGTGGCCTAGAGGTTAAGGTGTTGGCCTCTCATTCAAAGGTCCCGGGTTCGAATCCGGGTAGCGACAGAAAAATTTTCTTCTCTAAAATTGTCTCCTTTCACCTCCTTTCCTGCTCTCTAGCAATGTTCTGTTGTCTGCTTTCATTTCCACTTTCTGCCCCCACCCCCTCACATCCCCCCCCCCCCCTCTGGGCTCCTGACTCTTTCTGCAGCCTTTCCACTGCTACTTCTTGGCTCCTCCTTACTGCTGTCTTTCTGCCACACCCCTGATCTTCTGGTAGGAAAGATCTACACCTAGCCTTCTCGGACAAGGGCGAAAAATCTCGGAGGGCCCGTGTGCAAGTTGCGCACGATAAAGATCCCTTGGTGGTCTAAAATCAATAAGAGTAGGCTTCGGCCGCCACCCGGGCAAAATTCAAAATTTCCTACCAACTGAAAATATTAGGAGTGTTCTGCGCGCTCATATGACCTATGCAGTTGCGAGCGCCGTAAAACACTTTACAAAAACAAAAAAAACAAAAAGGTATTTATTTTAAAATCTATCTGTATATCTCTCTCTCTATCTATCTGAAGAATTTCCCCTTTGGTAGTTGGAGGGGGTCACTTTTAGGTCTTGCTTCTTTCCTCCCTTTCTTTTGTTCTTGTCTGTCTGTTTTACCTTTTTCCTGCACTAAATGAATGTTATGTTGGTGTGCTTCTCTTCCCTCAACACTTTTTAAACTTACTACTTTTCTCTCTGTTCTTTCTGACTGTTTATCTTGCTCTCTCCCAGCACAAAATGGCTGTCATAGAGGAGTGTTGTCATGTGGGTGTGCTTATCTTTACCCCGACCCTAATCTGTATTATATTGGCTGTCTTGTGTTACAGGGCCTTACCTCATGGTGATCACCAAGAGGGAAAAAGTTGGGTCAATCCTTGGGTCTGACATATGGAAGGTGACGGGAACAGAGGTTCTCAGCTACAAGAGATCCTTCACTCACCTGACAGAGAAACAGGTACATCATGGGCTTATTTACATTGTCAGAGTGATGACTTGTGGCGCACAGATTCACTTTGTTTGCTATGGGGCTGGGTTTATGGTCGACTGGGAAAAGGTAAAGCTTAACCCTCCACATCTTCACGGATCAAGATGATCATGGCATGTCATTTCCTGTTCCCGGGAGACATTAATTGAACCCTGAATATTGCTCATTAGATCAAGCAGTGTGAAAGGGTGGGGGAGGTTGGTTATACTTTAGTTTTACCAGACTGAACATATTGCTTTGTCTACATGTAGAGATACTTGAATAAGTGGTGAACTTAAAATGTGTCTCAGAAACTGGGAAAGAAGCAAGATCAGTAAGTTTTTTATTTTCATAGTTGGCCCCTTTTTTTTCCCCTTTCTAACACGCTCAGCTAGCAATGTGTAGGAGGTATTAGATTGCTTTTGGTTTATTTTGAACTGGTCCATATGATGATGGTAAAATTTAGGTTTCTAAACTCGGCCTGGTGTTTATGCAAATTTCAGAGCATCATTTCTTTAAGAAAATAGCAGTAAGTAGAATAATTTGTTTAGGGGTTGTTTTTTTTTCATTCCCTTGTCCAGGTGTCGATCAACAAAACCTACTTGGCTCTTGTGGATATGATGTTGAACACAGAGAATTTCTACTTCTCTCCTACCTACGACCTGACTCACTCAATACAGCGGCTCTACAACACCAGCCCAGACTTTCAGTCTCTTGGTTTACTTGAAAGGGTTAGTTTTCTTCTGTTTTTATGTCTTTCCAGTCTGTTTACCCTGCCGGTGAAGTGTGAAATTTAGCCGTTTACTTTGTCTTCAAGTACCATCTTCTTCAAGCCACTAGTTTCTCATGTAGTCTGATGTCTTTTTTGGGTAACATGTCTTTAGATCTTATTTTTTACTTAGAGTGCAAGCCAGAAAAATGTTATTGCTGTATAAATATTTGTTGTTTGCTTTTTTTTGTTTCTAAACGCTCAAACTTTTTTCATTCCTTTTCAGGCTATATTTTCATGTGACTAGCGTACCTTTTAATCATTCATTTTGTAAACTTTCCTGAAGGTTACTGGATTTTTCTGTTTGTTTTCATGTGACTAACACACTTTTATAACGTACCTCCTTCATTTGTCCCACAGGCGGACCAGAGGTTTATATGGAACAGCCATGTCCTGAGAGAGCTGTCCCAACAACCAGACCTGGCCAAGTTCTGTATGCCTGTTATGCTGGGATGTATCTTTGTCTGCCAAACTTATCAATTTTGCCTGTATTTTTTTGGTGTTTTTTTTTGTTTTTTATTGGCAAGCTGTTCTAGTGCTCTAATCCCAGAAGGCAAAATTGTTCAAGAGAGAGAAAAAACTTTTATGTCTTAAAACAATTTTACACATTTTATTTATCTTTTCCTGCTTCTTTTAAAATTTTAGAATTTCGATTCTGACAAAATAATTTTTGAGCACATGCTATCGATACCACAGATTAAGACACTGCCATAAAAAAGAATTTAGAATTTGGGCAGTGATGCAAGTCTTCCTCAGATCGGAGGAATTCCAGGTTTTTTAGCCTTTCAAGGAAATTTCTCCGCGATCTGGCGTCCTCACGATTCGCATGAAAGTAGGGGCGCCATTGTATTAAAAAATGTAATTCAACGAGCATGAATTCCTAATTCCGCGAAGTGATCATCATCTCGATTTGGAAACCGAAGCCCCTCGCAGTTGGAATAAGTGGTCGGCCGGTTAAAAAATTGACACCTGTGCTTGCGAATACTTCGCAGAAAGATTGATGATTAATAAATACCGTCATTTCAACTATAGATCTTTTAACGGGCTTTCCCACGGTATAATTTTGCAGTTTTAATAGAAAGCCTTTAAAATACCGTCCATGTTTTCGAGGGTCATTTTTAACACAACATATGTAAAATACCGGCCCGAAAAAGGTGTCTATAGAAAGCTCAGTTAATTTTCTATTAGAATAAAGTCATCGGCGCAGACTTATTTTGCATCAATTCTCTCGTCAAACTTGGAAAACATGTGAACCTCTTGGGGGGAACACTTGGCACACTGCAGTTTAGTGCTGACTCGCTCGCCCCGGGGACCGGTGCGACGCCAGCCAGGACAGCGCTCTGTGTTTTTATCGAAATAACGACAGATCATCATGTTTGAGGCCAAAAAATACTTGATTCGTAATGATCTTACTGTCTTAACCAAAAATTAGGCTTCATATCTAGGTTATAGTGATTGTATTTTCTGTTAATGTGGAGATGTTTGGTGCACTTGGTACTTTTTAAAATTATCTATCAAACATGGGGTTGCTTGGCGACTTTAGCAATCATATTTAAAACAGCTGCCATTTTCTTAAAAATTGACAGAGAGGTAAAAGAAGGGTACTAAAATTCTCAGGAGACGTAGGCCTTTCATATGAAACAGATAAAGTTGGCATACAGCTACTTTGGAAAATTTGTTTCTGGTACCTACTTTTTAATTCCTGCTCGTCTAGTTTGGTCATGGCATCGATGGTTTTCTTCCTTTTTGACTTTTTGTCATTAGCATCACTGTTGGGGCGTACAATTTCCTCCGAACAAGTGGCTGATGATATTTTCCAAACCTTTTCACAGCATAAAAATGCTACTCACCTTATATATTGGACATTTAGCTGCATTAGCTCATTGCTGATGGGCTTCGTCTTATGGCATAGCTCCATCGAGGTGATAGGTCACATCTATAGATAGACGTCTTACAAAGCAGTACTAAAAACAGTTGACACTTTTACCTGTATAGAAAATACGAGATTCCACCTTGCCCAGCTCAACTTCACCTGTTTGAATTTCTATTTTGCACTTTTTAGGATCCTCTGATTTATCGAGGTGACTTTCAGCATTGAGTACTGCGCTGTGGTAACTGTAGTAACATGTGAGATAAAGCTGCATCTGATCACATGTCGGAATTGAGAAGGGAACGTTCTTGATTGTTTCACTTATTTTGGTCTTTTTTCCTGCTGAAAGTAGCACCTTTATTGAGGATTTGTGCGTATAGGTTTGATTTGACTATTTTGGTATCTTGTAAGAAGTCACTGTATGATTAAATTACTTGCAAGTTTGGAGAGAAAATTCAATGTGGATAGTGCAAATTGGATTTAATAATTATCTGACTGGCTCTGACCTCCTGCGGATACCATAGTCATGTCACTCGCTTAATTTGCTGGCAAGGTGTTCAATCCTGCCCTAAGATCGGGGGTGTGGCTAAAAGAAAGCGGTTTGAAAGAGCTAGTGCACACCAGAGACATGTTGCTGACAAAGGAACAAGAACTGGTATTGTGCAGCTTTTTGTTATTTTGTGGTTAGAAAACTATTTCTGTAGTAGATTAACACTTTGAGCCCCCTCCCCCCCCCCCCCCCTGCTCCCCCAAGTCTGCGAGACCTGTGTACCTTAACTCATATGGGTTACCTGGTAGATATACACTATAGTATCCTGAGGTCTCTGTTTAGTGCACAGAAAAATAACAGCGATGAAGCTCAAGCTTGTCAAGTGTGTGCTCGGGACCATCAGGTTAAATTAAAGATAAAGGTAACGTTGGTCTACCCTTTTTGAAAATGCTTTACCGAGTGCGCAGTAACTGTGATTGGTGCTCTGTCTTAATATTCTTTCTGAAACAGGAAACAGCAGACTGTGATAATTAGTGTGTGCAATGATGGGGGTGGGGGGGGTTGTACTTTACTTTAACCAAATCGAGCAGAGTTGAGTTTCCTTGACCAGTAACTTCAGTCATCAGCATCAGCTCACCGAAGGTCAACACCCATAGTGTGGACTACATTCTGGTGTCCCGGCGCTGTATCTTCCGCGCTGGCACACGCTTCAATGTGAGGGGCGTCGACCTACAGGGCCAGGTCGCCAACTTTGTGGAAACGGAGCAGATTCTCAAATGTAATGAGAACGTCTGCTCTTTCGTACAGGTGAGGGTTTTTCCCACTCCGTTTTGTTTTTGTAGAAAATTGTTAACAGGATACTGATCACAGTTGGGCTCCAGTGTCTGAGTGTCCAATAAATGAACAACCGTGGTGGGATTATTTTTTTTTTAATATTTTTTTTTGGGGGGGGGGTGCCATGAGTATGCGATCAAAGTCGTACGTTGTTACTGTATGAAAACGCGCGCCTTTTGCATGGATGATTAGAGTAATGTTCAAACTATTTTCAAGACTACGAGAGTTTCAGCATCATTGCAACCTGCACTCTCCCAGTCTATCCAACTCAGACCCGAGTTCATGCTCTCATTCAGTTTTCCTCTATTTTGAGGCCCAAATGTGAACTTATTCCTGCACAAGTTTTGTCTTACATGCTTGCGTCATAATAGGGAACCGGGAACACCCCTCCCCCATGCCCCTTATGACTGATTTGCCGTTGATCCCGATTTTTTTTCAGCAGATCCTGATTTTTTTACTCTGAAATCCTGATTTTTAGATTTCATAGAGTGGCAGGTCTGTATAATGCTCTCTGAGCAGCTAAATGAGACCCAAGTACCTTGGCTATGCAAATAGAAATGTAAAGAACAGACCTGAATGTGGCTACGGAGCTGGACAAAATACAAGGAAAAAGGAAGAAGAGGAAACCTCTTACATCATACACTGAGGATGTAAAATCCGACAGTGATCTACAAACTTTGTTTATGAAGTAATTCATAAAAGCAAAGACGTGGACAGATGGAGTCCTGTAACCTGTTGTGACAAGGAGAGGACACCAATGGACAGACACAGCCAGGGTGACAGGGGCTGAGGCTGGGTGCTTGCCTTTTTCTTCCTCGGCTCGTGGCTGAGAGAATGGACTGTTCATGAAAGATCCAGGGGGGTCCTTTTACAGCTAAAATGATACCATAGGCTAGGTTTTTTATTGTGCATGTATGTTTTATAAGAAAACAAATTTAGGACAATACAAACTTATATTCATGTATGCCGAAAATAGTTGGGTTAATGGATTCAACAGTTAATGATTATGGTTTTGAGGCTAGATTTTTTGTTTAAAAAAAAATTATTTTGTTCGCTTTGCTGGCCTTTGTTGTTCTAGATTTGTTCTTTGGTTTTTCAGACTCGTGGATCCATTCCTCTGTTCTGGTCTCAGAAAGCCAATTTGAAACGACTTCCTCGTCCTGTCCTGATGGATGTGGATCATGTGAGTATCTGTCTGTCTAGCAGGAAGGGAATGAAGTCAGACTTTTAAAAAAATTTATATCGGTGTAAAAATGATCAAGTCAGTTGTTGTTGTGGGGGTTTTTTTGGGGGGGGGGGGGGGGGGGTTGTAGGTTTTTTAGGGCGCTTGCAACTGCATGAGATCATATGAGCGCGCGGGACACATTAAACATTTTCAGTTGATAGTAAATTTTGAATTTTTCCCGGGGTGACAGCCGAAGCCTACTTTTATCGATTTTAGACCACCTAGGGATCTTCAATGTGCGCTACTTGCACACAAGACCTCCGAGATTTTTCGCCCTTGTCCGAAAAAGCTAGGTGTAGATCTTTCCTACCAGAAGATCAGGGGTGTGGCTGAAAGACAGCAGTAAGAAGGAGCCAAGGAGTAGCAGTAGAAAGGCTACAGAAAGAGTCTGGAGCCCAGAGGAGGGGGCAAAAGAAGTGAGAGGGTGGGGGCAGAAAGTGGAGACGAAAGCAGACGACAGATTATTGCTAGAGAGCAGGACAGGAGGTGAAAGGAGACAATTTTAGAGAGGAAAATTTTTCCGTCGGTACCCAGATTCGAACCCGGGACCTTTGAATGAGAGGCGAACGCCTTAACCTCTAGGCCGCGCGAGCCCCCCATCAGGTCAATTTAATTCCCAATGTCAAACTAAACTATTGTTAACTCATGCGTATTGTACTTGTGAAGGAATATTTGTATTGTTTTTACTTTTACCCACAGATATCTGCATTCCAAAAACATTTTGATCACCAAGTCTACATCTATGGCAATCAAGTTATAGTGAATTTGGTGAGTTGATTTGTTTACGACCTGTTTGTTGAAATAGTCTTCTTCTCTGGGATGTCCAACTAACTTTTATCACACTGATTGGAGAGCTTATAAACAGGTATCGAAACTGCAAGAGACTGGATTATTTGAGAAAATCATGGAATGGTTGTATTTAAAGTAAAGACTCCTCACTTCAAATATACACCGGACTTTTTGAGCATCACCTTTCTTCAACATGCACACAGACTGAATAGGTGCTGTGTTAGCTCAGTTGATATCTTGCTGGACTAATGAGTGGATGGCCCTGGTTTGAATCCCAGACTGGGCGTTCTTGAACTCGGGTTGTTTTGTGGGTTTTCCAAGGTTCTCAACTCATTTGGCTCGGTCCTATCGGCGACAAACGTTAAATTTGGAGCTCCTGCCCCTAATATAAACTGATAGTCTTGTTAGGAGCATTAAACCCGTACCCTTACTTTTTATTTACATACTAAATGATTAAATTTTGAATATGTTGGTCATTCTTTGTGTGTGTCAGTATATGAATGTGAGTTGAAGAAGGGTAAAGCCTGGAATGTCTTATGTTTATTTCTTATTTTGAGGCTTTTTAAAAGTCAATGCAAACTTATGTACTGCAGGGATGAGAACACCTCATGGATAGCTAGAGGGTACCATTGGCAGGTTCGACTTCTTTACTTTCCCCCTGTTGTTTCTGTCTGTATTATTTTTTAGGTGCTTTTCATGAAAGTTATTGCATCGATAATAATATACTTCTTTTCAATTAAATAAACAATAAATGAGTACTTCTAGTATATACAGTCAGGCACAGATAATACAAACTCTCAAACTTCAAAATCACAAATAGTTTGTACAATATTCCATTCCCTGACTGAACTGCTATATTTTCTTTGGTATTAGCAATGCTGATTTTTCAAGCACCCATGATTTGTCGAACTGTTCCACAAATTGACAGTGTGGCGCTACTCTGAGGTGTATGGTGTGTGAATTATGTTTGTGTACTTGTGTGTGCGGTTGTTTGATCGTGAAGTTATGGATGGGAAATGGATTATGCAGATTACACAAGAGGTGTGGGTGGCATGCTCTGACCAGTTTTGGTTACATCGTCATGATCATGATCTGACATAAGGACAATTTTATATTTGTGGTAAGGCTAATCAGCAACACCCTCTTCTTTTCTCTTGCTTCGTCATCGAACAAAGACTTAGAGCTTCCATCTTTCCATCCTTTCATTAATATCGGTATTGTCCTACAATAGAAACGAATCATCAAATCTTTAGTAGAGATTGACGAGAAGTTCTGCACTAAGTCTAATATGAGAGATTTGGCATCCCAAAATCAATGTCGTCCACTTTTCTACAAAATTGAAATGAAATAAAACATGCAGGCATTGGATGTTGACCCAATAGAAAGGGAGCGCGTTTTGCCAAATTCAAGAATATTGAGCCAGCAATTCTTTCAATGGTCCCAGCAAACACATGCTATATCTCTTTATTTCTTGTCTTTTCCTAATTCCAAAAGCTAATGAATTGCAAAAGAACTTGGCCTTGACTTCACATGCAGCACATGATGGTTGGACAGCTGCAAAAAGATACACAGCATCACCGGGCTCCACATTTTAAGGAATTAGGCAAAATTATTACACATTTTGTTCAGTTTTATGAAAATACAATCGTAACACTGCTGATTCTGATTCTTAAAGATTTATTCACTATTCATCTACCCCACCCATACTCACCCTCCTACAAATATAAGAAAAACAATAAGTTGTATTGTTTCTGTTCTTGTCAGGTGAACCAGCATGGGTCTGAGCAAGTGTTGGAGAAGAGACTGGCCCAGGTTGTGACGAACGCTCAGAACAAGAACGTCAGGTCTGAGCTTACTCTCTGCACAAGTATATCGATTGTGTCGGCCACAAGTGGCCCTTCTACAACTTTTTCTGAAACCTAATTTTTTTTTACTGCTATATATTGGGATTAAATACATTATTACAATAAATGGTGCAAAAATCCAACCCATAGAAATGCATGAAAGATCGAGGTGAAATTTGAGTTGAAGTATCAGTATGAAGGACCTTGTAACAAAACAGGCTATCTGCAATCTTTGAAGATCCATTCTTTTCCGCTCTGTATCATGAGCTCAACTCACGGGTCTAGTGGAAAACTATTGCAAGGGACATATCGGCAGAAATGGAGATTTTTCAGATTCCTTACTTCCATCAAGGGACGCAACTTATGTTAAAAAAATCAGAGCTGTAGCTTTAAAAATGACTGAGTTACTGCCCAAAGAAAAATTATTCTATCTTCTACTGGAGAAAACATTGTGAGGAAAAGTATTATATGTGGCAATTAAAATGCTTTTCCTACTTCAAAAAATTCCTGCCAGTAGTAGAAAAGGAAGAAAACTATTGTAAGTGCGTAAGTTAAAATACTTTTCTTCTCAAATGGCTCTGCAAAACCTCACACTTTTGTTTTTTTTAAAGTATTCTAAGTGACAGTTTGTTTGATTTAACAAGAGTGGAAGAAGTTGATTAGAAAATCATTTACAAAGTGAGCCTATGTTTGTTTGTTTGTTTATTCTACACCACATGTGGGTTTCGGATCCTAGAATTGTGTTCTGTTGAAATGAGGAAGTTTTTTCCTTCTCCTGTAAAATTTGCAAAATGTCTCTTAGAATTTCCATTTCCTCTAGACCCACGAACTGATAATCTCTACTGCTTTAAAGTGATTTCCTTCATTCATGCTGTAACCGACCATTTTATGTTACTTCAATTTTGTTGTTTCTACTACACCATGCAGGTCATTAATCAAATAATCAACTTTCTCTCATTGGGACCAATAAAAGTAGATTTTTTTTTTAATGTTCATTGGTTACATGTTATAATTTTGGTAAACAAAGATACTTTTTGAAGAAATATAATGTTGATTCCTTTTCCCTTCCCATCAGATATGAGCCTTTTGACTTTCACAAAGAATGCAAGCACATGAGGTGGGACCGACTGAGTATACTTTTGGGCAGACTGGATCCAGATCGGAAGCAATTTGGGTAAGTGTTTGGCTGAGGAGCGGTTAAAATCTTGTTTTTCCTCAGCATTAAATGGCTTTTTGTGTCAATGTCCTTTTTACTCAAACAGGACCTGGCTGTCTGAAAGTTTGTAAGTTTTTCTGGAGATATTCCGTACGGTATACTGAAACAAGGACCCGGGGGTATCTCTCCGTTTTGTTCCATACTGTAATTCTCTCATGTTAACATTCTTGGGCAAAAATGACTGCTCATTTTCTCCTCCTCCTGCACAGATAACAGCCTTCGAGTCCTCTTTTTCTGAATGGTCGAAATTATGTTGATGGGCTTTAAAACATTTTTCGCTCTTACTTTATAACAACTATCTTGCCGGAAAATTTCTACTACATCACATTTTATCATTTCCTAGATGGGGACAAAGATCTTTTTTTTCCTCTTTAGTTGAATGTATAAGCCTTGTAATCATAAATTTCACAGTTGCAAAGATCTTAAAGGAGATTAGTAGTAAGTCATTATTGCCCTTTGAAGTTTGAAAACTCAAAAGTACCACTACAGGATGGTCACTAAAACCAGGTTCCTTTATAGCACTCTTTGACAGTAGAAACAAGATTCTCACCAGCAAAAGTATAGTCATATCATCTGGGGATCACTGGGCTACCTCTACTCTAAGTGTATGTATGGCTCTTTTTGTCTATGTAGACGGTCAATTTAGCTTAAGATGGTCTCAAGATTGTCTTCATGCAGCTTCTTTCATGGCTAAGGGTTTTTCTAATAGATGAAAAAATCTCAATGAATCTGTCAGACTAAACATGTGCTTGAAGTTTAAAAAGACAAAAATAAATTATATACACCTTTTCTGTGAGCTGCCCCTGAAAGTATGGGGTGTACAGACCTGCCACTCATCCCGATTTAGTCGTGATATCCCGATTTTTTGCCCAGCCTGATATCGATCGCATGTGTCCCGATTTTTTGGTCCAGTCTACTGTTGCGCCGGATTTTTAAAAAAATTACTCTGCTTTCTATCGTGGGAAGCACCCGTTTAACTTTTTGTCAGTAGGAACTCGGAGCATTATTTCCCGATATTTCGATACCTGATTTAGTAGTTGACCCATCCCAAGTTGTGTTAGGTCTTTGCCCGCACTCAGAATTTTCTGATGATAGCCTGATAACTTACAATTTGCGACCTACAATTAATAGTCGATAATATTCCTAGTTCCGCTGTTACTTTCAAAACAAGCCTCGTCTAAAGTCTTGTAACCGTGCGTTCACATCAAATACTTGGACGAGCGACAGTCGTTCCCTAACCCTTACACAACTAACTGCGCTGACTAGACTAACACACGCCAGTTGTTGTTGCTTTGGTATGAACGCATATGAGGGATTCGAGATTTGTTGGTACATTTGGTCTGTCGGCCGTTGTCGTTAGCCTAGAACTACTGTCGCTCGTCGGAGTGTTTGGTGTGAACGCGCAGTTAGTCCGGTCCGTCAGTACAGCTGTTTCAATCGCGCTTTCACATCCTGTGACATGACCTCGGCGTGTGAGTTACGCGTGTGTCGGGGACTGTCCGTTGACAGGGTCAACTTAGGTTGTGAAGGGGGGTAGACATATGGACTAGGAGTGTTTAATGTGATGCTTCAAGATTTTTTTTTAAAATGATAACACACACACATACACACACACACACACACACACACATACACACACACACACACACACATACTCAGACGCATAGTAAGTCACCGTGGTGATTTGCTGTTGATCCTGATTTTTATCACCAAATCCCGATTTTTTCCCTCTGAGATCCTGATTTTAAGGTTTCCTAGAGTGGCAGGTCTGGGTGTAAATCATTTACAACATATAATGTTTTGGTTAAACTGTGACACTCTCGCTCTCATTCATTCTCTCTCTCTCTCTCTCTCTCTCTCTCTCTCTCTCTCTCTCTCTCTCCTCTCTCTCTCTCTCTCTCTCTCCCTCTCCCTCTCTCTCAGTCTCTCTCTCTCTCTCAGTCTCTCTCTCTCTCTCTCAGTCTCTCTCTCTCTCTCTCTCACTCTCTCTCTGTCTCTCTCTCTCTCTCTCCCCCCTCTCATAGCGGTATTGTTTTGGGGTTTTTTTTAATCTCCCCTCCCTCCATATACCTGTGCTCCCCCTCTTTCACTTTGATGTTAAATCAACGTGCCACTTGTTCATCTGTTGCAGCACAGTAAGGGGGTTGGGGCGAGGAAAGTGAGAAAAGTCGTTTGGTTTGTTTTTATTTCATTAAATAGAAGCCAGTGATATGAAGACGTATAGCCCTGAGAGTTACTCTTCTTGAGTTAATCATTAGTGAGATAATTAGGCTACTTTTTAAGGGCAGAAGCACTTGTTCTGAATGCTTTTTTTGGGAGGGGGGGGGGGTTAAACTCGTTTTGTTCAGGTTAGGCTTTAAAAAGACTGTATGTAGGTGTGTGTGTGTAGTGTGTAGTCAGTCATGGCACTGTGAAAGAGCTGAATCAAAAGTTTCCTTCCAAAGTAGTACGTTTGTACATATTATTTTTGACAAATGGATTCAAAACACAAAGTGAATAAATAAATGTAAAAAACAAATGTATTTTTTTTTTAATTAACAAAAACGAGAATCTGGAGGCTGATGCAAGTAAGGTCCCATATCGAAGACACTGGTCCTGCCCCATCAGTAGTACCCGTTGACTAGAAAAAGCGTTAAACCCTATTTTATTTAGTAATGTTCCTTCGCTCAAGCAGTGTCGAGTTTTGCATCGAGCGCTCAAGCACTCATGGTGCGTAAAATATCGAGTAGCGTGCAGCCCTAGTGAAAGGTGCCACTGGTAGGTCCCACTTATTTTCTTTCCTTCTGCACTTTCTGCCAGTCTGACTGTTCCCCTGCACAGCTAAATAATGATGGTTATTGTGTTAATGTGTTCCTCTTTTCTCAAACTTGAACTCGCACTTGCTCTCTCTCTCTCCCCAGATATTTCCAGCAGCAGTCAGGGGGCCAGGTGCTACAAACACAGAGTGGAGTGTTCAGGACCAACTGTATGGACTGCCTGGACCGCACGAATGTGGTGCAGAGTCTCATAGCTACAGAAGTCCTGCAGGATCAGTTTGAAGTGAGTTGATAAATAAAAATAGTAATGATAATGAAATTCCATTTTTATTGACCTACGAGGGAAAACTGGTTTACCGTGGCGTAACATATATTATACTTACATGAATATGGTACATAAATGCAGATACTTACTGAAACATACAGATACACTTTAGACACGCCGTTGCTTGTCACCACTGCACAGGGCCCTACTTTTCGAGTTAAGGTTATCTTGTTTTGCTCAAGGACACACCCCAGTGACCTCTCTCCTAAACACGGGGCTGTATCCTTAACCCCTTCAATGCCGCAGGTAAATAGGCCCCTGTGCCGGGGGAAATCCCATGAACAAACGCGGCTCAGGGGTGACTCCACTCTACCTCTCATAACTTTTTTATTTATGAATATTTCCTCATGAATTTCTACATGAACATTCTACATTGAACCACGTTTCTATTGATATAATTTTAGGGGTATTTCATAGACAGATAGATGGAGAAAATTTTGAGTTAATAACGTGATTCCAAAAATACCACCAAACAGCGTAAAACAACACACTTTCGAGTAAACGTAAACTGAGACCAAAAAAGGGAATACATGTTGTGTGAGTGTCTGCGGGTAAAGAGGAAGTGACAAGAGGCTTTTCCTACCTTATACTGCGCTTGTACAATCATATACATACATGTAAGCCCATCTGTGTTTACTGCCAATAAATCATTTTTGTGCGGTAGATGTGTTAGATCTAGGCCTAGATGTAATCTTCTCTTGGAGCTAAAATCTAAATCTGGCGCTTTCAAATGGGGGGGGAATTGTCTTAAACATAATGGGAAGGTACTTCAATAATAATTACAAGATTTTAGCAGTAACTTCTCTTATAATTGGTATCCAAGCAACCTCTGTCACCATCCCGTAAATTCTACGGGCCATAGGCACAGCGCTACATGGTTTAGGATTGTAAATACTTCGGGGCGGCAGTGAAGAGGTTAAGCAAGACATCTCAGCCTTAGCTGAAAAACATGACGATGCACGGTAGCAGCTGGCAATGGTGTGTTTGTAAGATTGTCTATATTTTAAGTAGTATAGTACAGGGTTTTACGGCGCTTGCAACTGAAAAAATGATAAGTTAGTGTATGTATGTGTATATATTATATGTATGCCACTAGAAACCATTTCCTCATGGGATCAATGGAAATGGATTTTTAATACATTAATTTATTTTATTAAGCCTGGGTGTTTTTTCATCCTTTTCAACGAAGACTTCACCCCCCCGGGGCAGTGCCACTGACTGTAGTGTTTTTAGGCCATTCTCAAAGGGGGGACATTTCTCGTTCTTGCACAGAAGAATTGTAAATGGCCTGATTCATCAGGTCACGCTCATAACTGTGCCTGATCTGCAACAGGGAACTCCTGCTTTTTCTTTCCTAATCCTTACTATTGTCATTTTCCTCCTCTTCTTTTGTATGTTTGTCACTCTTATGACCTGCTATTTCCGGGGTGCCTTGATAGTCGAAGCAGACCTTTTGCTGTTGAAGCTAGAGATGTGAGCAGAGTAAGTCTGATGCCCTGTAAGGACTTCTCTGTTGACACCCGCCCCTTGGCCCTCATATGACCTTATGCAGTTGCAAGCGCAGTAAAACCCTCTACTATAAAAAAAAAATATTTTTTTTAAATCCGAAGACTTGGATGAGCTGGCTAAAGGATGATATCTTTAATGTTATGATGGCTTTATCATGAAACATTGAAGGGGAAGGGGGGGCGGGCATTATTTTTTTAAACCTTGAAATATATGCAATTTTGATAATGTCACCTTTCTGTCTACAGAGGCTGGGAGTTCTTGATGCAGGTCAGAAAGTTTCTGAACAGAAAGAGTTTGATACTGTATTCAAGAATGGTGAGTGAGCTTGGTACCTGTTTTAGGAGTTTCACTTTTGTTCTTGACTATGGTCGCAGTAGATACTTTGACTGAGTTTTCCATGAACTCCTGTTTCAGTCCTGTATGCAACCACTGGGTGCGCTTAACTTTTAATTTTCTCGAAAAATATATTATTATAGCAGTGGATTAATGACAAGAAGATTTTGAAATGAAAAATATGGGTTAATGCACAAAATCTGTGGATTAAGCAGAAGATGTCTCCATTGTCTAGTAATGTCTCATCTTTTGATATAGTGCCGTTGTCTAGTAATGTCTCATCTTTTGATATAGTGTCGTTGTCTAGTAATGTCTCATCTTTTGATAAAGTGTCGTTGTCTAGTAATGTCTCATCTTTTGATATAGTGTCGTTGTCTAGTAATGTCTCATCTTTTGATATATTTCCATTGTCTAGTAATGTCTCATCTTTTCATATCAACTAAAGGTTAAATATTTGGACCTCAACTCTCCTTCATTGCTCCATTTTTCAGTGTGGGCTGACAACGCTGATACGATATCCAAAGAGTATGCTGGTACAGGCGCTCTCAAGACTGACTTTACAAGGTGATTTATCCTATACGATGGACTTTTTTTTTCTTCTAATAAACTAAAACTATGTTATTTGACACCAGCTGATTAGGATTTTGTAAAAGAGTAGGATCAGAACTAGCTTCCTACTACTGTGCTTTTGTAAAAACCTCCTCATGATCTTTTCATTTTTATACAGAAAGGTCTGTTAAACTATTAAATTTTTTTTAGCTTGTAATCATTTTGTAAACAAGTATAATAAGCTCAAGAACAAAACTGATGGTAGCACTTTCAGCTGTCTTGAGTCAGCATTTCACTCTTTGACCTTTTCCACATAGGTCTGTGCTCATAGCGTTAGAAGGTGTAACTCTCAACAGCAAGTCCAAGATAGGTTTCCAAAGTTGATGGCCTTAACATAGCTACATTAGAATTACAAAGTTCTATTTGACCTTTTTGGTTGTTTTGAGTAACTAAGACGATAAGGCCTGAAACCGAATGTTCTATCTACTCTATCAAAATCGTAAGATTATTTGGAGACGTTATCAAGATGTTCAATTGCATTCGAAAAAGCTTGACATGTTGTGAAACTCAAAGTTTGTTATGTCTAATTTTTTTTAACTAGGTACTGAGCAGATAAAAATTTGTAATTCTAAGATATCGACATGTCATTGTTGAATTACAAAAGACCTTATCGTTATTGTGCTTGACCCAATTACTGTGTTTTTCACTTTTCTCTCCACAACTTCCGACACATAACACAAAACTGGAACCAACATCTGCTGTGTTGTGGTTAGGCTCTTATCTATCACGCACAGAAAACCTTAGAATCCCATATGGAGAAGTTTTTGTTTGTTTTTTATGATCAAGTATATCCATCTGTGTGCATGAACGGTCTATCGCTCTCAGCCTGGCTTGATCCTGCCCTGACCTATCAAATATCTATCGTCCTTACCTCTCCTGCTCTTTTGTGTTCGTTACTCTCGTGTAACACCTCTAGTCTTCAGCACTCATATGTCCTAATTGTGTTACAAGTGCTGTAAAACACTTACTAAAACTATAGTGATCTTGACGGGCAGCAGCCTGCCTCTTAAATCATCTAAACTGTCTTGATGAGAGCGTAATTCATTTAAACTTTCAATTTTTTTTTTTTAAACAGAACCGGAAAGCGTACCACATATGGTGCTCTTCAAGACGGTTACAACTCTGCCGTCAGGTATATCAAGAACAACTTTCAGGACGGCAGTAGACAGGTGGGAGAATGCTATTCTATTCATTAGGGTAACAACCTTTGAGTAGTTTGAGCTTCAGTTCTTTCAGCCCTACAGGACCCATGCACATGAGCTTGCATGGGTCAACTGCAAAATTAAAATAAATACAATTCATGTTTTATTGATCCCCATGGGGAAATGTGGTTCACAATGGCACAGCATATATTTTACATGCATAAATATGGTACATAGATACATGGATACTGAAACATACAGATATGCTACAAGCATGCCTTTGCTGGTAACCATTATGCAGCATCCTGTTCATTTTTTAGCTAGAGTTATTGTCTTGCTCAAGAAAAGCACTCTCCAGTGACCGCCCACCTAAACGCCATGTCACTGACGTATGCTTGACAGAAAATTGTGAGCCAGAACTCACTAACCACTTGGACACTGGAGACCACTATTGGCGCAGACATGCGTACGTGGCACAGAACAGAAGTGTACTGACAGATTATGCTCAAGTGTACACTTGAGTTCTAAGGGTTAAGCAAAGATGCTTGCTGGTTGGGAGAGTTACCACTAGGTCCTATTTGTTTTCTTTCTCTCTGATGTCTCTCTTTGTCTGTCTTGTTTTTTCCCCTACACTTGACGACATTTAATGTGTTGATGTTCTGCTCTTTACTCAATCAAAAAAAAAAAGAGAAAGCAATGGTATTAAGGGAAGAGGTGATGCACTTAGAGTGGACTTTCAGGCACTCATCTTAACATTTTAATCTTGTAGCTTTTTTAAAAATCTCAATTCGGGGTGTGTCTTATCCCTTTGAGCCCTGTGCTCCTGATCCCAATTTTACCCAAATCTTGGCCTCCTGACCTTCCAGGTTCAGGGAGAGAGCGCTTCATCATGAAAAAAACTCAATAAATCAGCACATAATATGATCAAAACATGTGTGAAAGGTGCAGACCTGTTGGTATCTCATAAAATTTTGATTGGTAAAAAAATTGTTGCCTTTTTATGCTAGAAAATTCAGCGTTTTCCTCACACTGGTGTACTTGTGATACGGATTAGTGTTGTCAAGGTGCACCACTGGTGTACCGATGCTAAGGACAAAAAGGGTTAGTAGTACATGTATGTGGGTGGTTGACTGGTGCTCTGGTATGGTTTGTTCCTTTCCTTGCAAATATTCATGATCCCTGTCTCTGCTTCTTCTCTCTGTATGTTATTCTTTAGTAATACCCCTAATCTTTTTCACTTTTATAGTCTTAATGTGTTGCTAGTGCTGTAAAACTTGTTCTAGAACTGAAGAATACTTGTCTCTGAATTTAAGTATGGCGGCTGTGCAGAGTTCTGCCACTTTTTATGTGGTTGTAGGAAGAAAGATGAGGTAAATTTAGGGCTATGTGGGTATTGATTCATTTATGTTTAGAAGAAGGGGGGGGGGGGGGGTGTTTGATTTTTTTTGGTGTTTGTTTGTTTGTTTGTTTTAGACTTGGGGGGTGGATTGAGTTTAATGTTTGCAGTCGATGTCGTTTGTGTTTGTGTGTCAGTTTTTCTGTTGTTACATATTTGGGAGGTACAAAATTTCTTTTTTGAGCAGAATGTATGAAGGGTATTACTGTTGTTAACAGATTCTCTTTGTTCTTGTTTCTGATTTGGAATACTTGGCAGACTTTCATTTTCTCAACAAAGTCATTAAATCTACTTTTTTAAAATTCAAATTTTGTTCTCATGAAGGACTGTCCTTTTCTCTTCAGCATCCTTAAATTCACTTTCTTTGTTTGATTTTGTTTGTATAGGACTACCATTTTCCTATCAAAAGTATTAAATTCATTGTCTTTTTATTGGATTTTGTTCATTTTGGACTACCAGTTCCTCAGCAAAAATCTCTTAAGTTCCTTTTTTTTTTTTTGTCTTTAATTTTGTTCATGTAAGATACCCATTTTCTCAGTAAAATAATTGAAATCACTTTCTTAATGTTTGATTTTGCTCCTATGGGACCACCATTTTTCTCAGCAAAAATGTTCAAGTGTTTTCTCAGCAAGATTATGAAATTTACTTGCTTTTTGTTTGAATGTACCTAATTAGTAGTGCCATTTTTTCAACACAATTGTTTGTTGTTTCTCAGCAAAATGATTTGTCTTTTCTCTGCAAAATCATGTGTATTTTCTTCAGCAGAATCATTCCTCTTTGCTCCGCAAAATCATAAAATTCACTTTCTTTCTTTTGACTGTGTTCCCTCAGGATGCCATGGACCTGTTTTTGGGCAATTACTCGGTGGACGAAGGTGAAGGTCTGACCGTCAAGTCCCCATTAGACTCTGACAGAGACTGGAAATACTATGCAGTACGTTTTCAACTGTGGTTGGGGGGGGGGGGGGGGTGTGTGAATAAATGTGAGGCAGCATGGTGAAATCAGGTGCAATTTAATTAAAGTAAAGAAACTGGCACTTTTCCACTGGTTTGGCAATTTTTAGCGAAATTTGTTTTTTTGGGCTCAACACCTTTTATGTCCATTTAAGAACCCATTTCAGTGTGCATTATACTGAAAAACATAGATTAAGGGCACAAAAAATGTAAATTGTCAGTTTACACGGACTCTCAGGATTTGCAAATATCCAAACTTTAGTGGCCATTTTCTCGCTAATTTTTTACCTCTGAAACCAGGTTACCCCCACCTTCTTCAATCACAAATATCTCGATTTGTATTCAACATAAATTCGTTTTTAAAAAATGCAAAGCAAGGCGAATGGACAAGCTTCAAGGGGATATCAATAACTCCACAGACCCAAAAATTGACGAGCACCTGATTCCGCTGCGTCATGACACAAATAAATTTGAAGTACCACCATGACGTGTTGCTTTCTGTTGTTTATCCCAGATTCTACATTTCGCTTTTCTTGGGAGAGCAATGGAAAATGCTTCTTTAGGATTTTCTTTTCATCCCTTTTGGAGGGTCCAGATGCTGTGAATGTATAGCTAACTCTCTAGCAAGGGAATATATATATATATGGAAGTAGCAATGCTCTAAAGACTTGCGGGTTGTTGTTCTTTAATGCATCCAGTTGTAATGGTAAAACCGTTATATATGCTTACTGATTGTGGTGCATACAGAGGTAATATTTTTAAATAAACTTTTCTTCCTCTCCAGGTGCCCATAATCTTCATCGTGGCATTCTCCATGTTTGTGGTCAGCGTGCTTTTACCTGATGGTGAGTACTTTTGTTGCTATGCTAGGGAACTCACTCACATTAACACATGAACACATAGGCACACACATACGCCCCACCCAGTGTCATGTCTAGGATCTGCACTGAAAATGGGCTTGTCGCCAAATACTTATCAAGGATATTGAGTATTGACTATGAAGTGACCCTTTGAACAGTCAAAGGGCAAATTTTGCAGAGCAAATATGACTTTCTCTGTTTGTATTGATACTCTAAAGCCATTTTTTTTAAAATTTCAAGTTCTAATCATTAGATGTATGGCTCTTAATCTGGTGTAGTTTAACAATAACGATTGGAGAAAAATGAATGCATTAAAATATCTCTCTTGTTACCTTAAAAAATTTTTTTTTTACAAAGATGCAGGTTATGAGAGGGTTTTTTTTGTTTCCTATAGATGGAGCTTTTGATCAGTTTGCTATTCTGTGGCTGATTCTACACTTTTGTTATAGTTATAGCTCAAGGGTCGGCAAACTATTTGGATATGGGGCCATTTTGAGCCATGAGCAACAAAGGGTTACATCTTTTAAAACTTGACATAATGGGTTAAGTAACCTTACTTCTCATTTATTGCGAAAATACAATATAAACCACATCATTATAAAGAGTTATCAAATTTTGTTACCTTAAGAAAACAAACAGGGGTCATGCTAGTTGTAAGTTCAATAAATGTTCCTTGCTCAAGTAAATTGACAAATGTGATCACTTTTTCAAAAGTTTATTGATTTCCAAATTGGTTGGGGGAGGTTATTGGCCAAATGTTCCTGGGGGAAGCAGAAAAGGTGTGAGGCCCGACAGGTGAGCGAGGATTAATCTGTCCTCCCCTGTTCTAGCACAAGTCTTTAGATCATATGATGAGAAAGAGAAAGATAGCTACGTAGATTATTTATCAGGTCGTTCTGGGTTCAGTGGTTCGCTTAAGGTCAGTGACCCAACCACTACTGTGTCCAGTCCTTCCTCTGAGGTGGTCAGAGATTTCTGGGTGACCTTTGTCCAATGAATCTGAGGCTTTAATTAGATGAAGTGAATGGTTGGAAAGCACCACTGGTAGATCCTACTTCTTTTCTTTCCCTCTATTGCTTGTGTCATGTCTTTCTTGCTCTTTCATAGTCCTGACCATTATTGTCTTGATGCATTTCTATTTGTTCAAACAACCGAAACAATTTTGTAGAAGGACTGAATATGCAAAGAATTATCATTTCAATGACATAGTCTCAACTTGTGCCCATACCACAGGTGGGAAGCGATTGAAAAGAGTGAGTAGTGCGTTGAGATTGCTAATTCTTGGATGTTCATTCCGTGTTTTGAAGTGATGGGCTACATGACAAATTATATCACATAGGACAGGAATTAATTTCTAAAAATTGCATGATCTCATGGAGTTAAATGGGGTTGTTACAATAGGGTGGGTTTTTTTGGTAGGTTCTTCGAAATTGTTGCATTCCGTGGTAATGTCAATATCTGAAAGCTGTTATCAGCACATTGCGAGTGGTTGGAGGGCACCACTGGTAGTTTTTACTTTTGTTCTTTCCGTCTGTTATTACTATCTGTCCATCTTGCTTTTTCCCAGTACTAAATGACCATCATCATGTCTATGCACTTCTTTTTACCGAAGCTCAAGACTATCAATGCATCAGAAGCTGAAGAAAAAAGACACTTCAGTCTTATCATGGAAGTATGTAACGTGTGTGCCCGTTTTATAAATAGATGCCCAACATCCAGTGAAATGACTTGATGATAATAATAATAATAATAATAACAATAATAATAGATTTCATTTATATAGCGCTTTATCCCATACGAGTAAATGCTCTGAGCACTTTACATCAGTCACATGATCAGTGAGTGTAATTACTTCATTTACACAAAATAGAATATTTCACAGTAACAAGAAAAAACAGTTCAACCACTTAAAGAAAGCTTTCACAACCATGCATTAATATTATATACACACGTAAGGACAGCTGTAAAAACCAAACATATCAGCGCTTAATAACACTACAACAAAGAATTAAACAAATGAGTCTTGAGCTGTCGCTTAAACATATTAGGATTTGTTATTTCTCTGAGATCCTGGGGGATGGAGTTTCAGATTTTAGGGCCAGAAATTGAGAAATTTTCTCACCAAAAGGTCTTAATTTCATTCTAGGGGCTCTGATTTTTGTTGCGTCTGTGGATGACCGTAACTGACGAGATGGAACAAATTATGGTGTCAAAATCTGAGACAGATATGATGAAGCTTGAGGAGACTCTGGTGTTGATGACTATTCTTTCCAGTGTTTGTTTCCTCTGTGGTGTTTGTTCTGTCCTGCTTCACCAGTGTGTACCAGCATGCTGTTGTTGTTTCAGGAGTCAACCCAGAACTAATGTAATCTGAGTGTTGGCGGGTGCTCTTGTGTGATTTGCTCCTTCTCTGCTGTCAAACAACTGTCAGTGGGTGGTTGGCAGGTGCTCTGGTGTGGTTTGCTTCTTCTTTCCTATCAAACATCTATCGTCCTTATCTCCCCTTCATCTTTTTTATGTTTGTTACTCTCTTGTAACAGCTCTAATCTTCTGGCGCTCATATGACCTTATGCAGTTGCGAGCGCCGAAAAACCCCTACTAAACGAACTAAAACAATTGTCGCCTTCATCTTGATTTCTTTTTCTTTTCTTTTCTTTTTTTTTTTTTTTCTTTTGTGTGTGTGTGTGTATGCGTTTGTTACTCTCTTGCAACAACATTCTCGGCACTTGTAAGTCCCAAAACAAAGAACTAATGTAATTCTTTCCATGCCGGAGGGGTGGGAATGGTTAGAGGGCACCTCTACTTCTTTAATTTCTCTCTGTTTTACTTTTTTTTTCCCACACTAAATGTTCGTAGTGTCAATGAACTTGTCTTTACTCAAACTCAAAGCCTGAAGGGTTTCTGTGTTTTTGCACGGAAGGTTGGAGGGTGCCACTGGTAGGTCCTACTTCTTTTCTTTCCTCTTGTTTTTTCGGTCTGTCTTTTTCTCTTTATGCAAACAAACATGTTTTCATCAGACCAGTGTATTGGAAATGTCACAGGTAGAACTTGCTGTTTGGAGAGACCTGTTACTTATTGTATCAAATTAAGAAGAAGTGTTGATTATATTAAAATGGAAGGTGAAAGAATACATCACAAGAAGCTGATGTTAGGCAAAAAAAGAATATATATTATGGAGATAAGGTCTATAAATTTTTTTTAAAGGGGGTGTGATTTGCAGTGGAAATAGTATATCAATGTATCATGGATTGCCAAAGATAGGCTGAAGCTAACATAACATTTAATGGTTATTGTTGTCATGAAGCTCATCCTTGTGTACCAGAGGTGTTTCTTTCCATGTTTCTTTTTATTATGTAAATATGGAAAGCTTTTTTTTTTTTAAGGTCCGACTTTTACCTGCTTGGATCTTAATTATTTTTTTTTCTTGGAATATGTGACCAATACTCACTGGTGTTTTTTTTGTTTTTTTGCATGTTGTCATTTACTAAGACAGCCTGTATCAGTGCTCTGCTTTTCTGAGAAATGATTCCTTTGTGTTACCCTTTCTCAAAACAAAAAAGAAAATGGGGGTATTTTCTTTAAGTTTTTCAGGTTTCTTTAATTTTTAGCCTTACCTCTTTTTTTGCAATTGAAATTGACTCTTTTATTTCTTCTCTCCTACCTCTCAGTGTGTCTTCAAGTTATGCTTTACCATTTTGTCTGTGTTTGGAACATGCTTTAAAAAGTTTCTGTTGCTTTTCTGAGAATGTGTGTTAAATGTTTTGAAATTATGGTACAAATAGCTGCTGCTGATAAACCAAGCTCCTTGTTTCTGCCATCAGTGTGTTTATTATTTATTATGCTTTACTATTAAATTTTGTCTCTTTTTTTCCAGATAGTTTTTATTAAAGTTTCTTTTTTACTTAGAGCACATTAAATATTTTGACTTAGTGGTTACTGTTATATGTGTCTCTTTTCCTGGTAGTTTTGAAAAATTTTATCTAATTTGTTCTCTGAATGTGTTGAATATCTACCTCTGCTGAGTGATAGGTCTAGCTTTCTTTGCCTCCTCTTGATGTATGACCAACATGGCAGTGCTTTGTTTACTTCTCTTGTTCCTTGGTTGCTTCTCCGTGCTTTTTGTTAAGGAAATCTCTCAAGTGCTTTGAGCTTGCTTTTTAATTCTTTAAGATCTTGTCTTCCTGATTGTTTTTATTAGATTTGAACAGTCACTGATAAAAGCAGTAAAGATGAAGTCCCTAAGACACTTGTACCAACATAAAGGACTTGATCGTCTTTCCTTCACTGGGAAAATAGAAAGCAATTGTTTTTGTTTGTTTTGGCAAGTTATTTACAGCGCTCTCAACTGCATAAGTCAAGGTCATACGAGGGTGCGGGACACATTAAACATTTTCAGCGGGTAGGAAATTTTTTATTTTGGCCGGGTGACGGCCGCAGCCTACTCTTATGGATTTCAGGACCATCAATGGATCTTTTATGTGTACAACTTGCACACAGGGTCTTTGAAATTTTGTCGCCCTTTTCTGAGAAGGCTTGGTGTTAGATCTTACCTATCATAAGATCAGAGGTGTGACCGAAAGACAGCAGTACATTTCTAATCTTCGGCACTTATATGACCTTATTGTGTTGCAAGTGCCGTAAAACTCTTACTACAACTTTAAACAAACCACCCCTCATACTGTCTTGTTTGTTTCTCCACAGAGCATCTGAGCGAGCAGATGATGTACGTGCTGTTCTGGGGTACAGCCTCAGTCATGTCGCTGGCCACCATGTTTATGTTTGGTGTGGTCTTTGTGGAGCAGCCCAGACTTGTCCACAACAAACTCAAGTCGGAATAGCTATATGGTACCACCGCTTTCATAGTCTGACTAATAAAGGCAGTCAGCTTTACTCATTGCACGTTTTTTACAGACACTAAACCACTACACCTGGTACAAATTTGTACAACTACACATGATGCAAATCTGTACAATTACGTTAGCAGATTTGCATAACAAGATGTGCAAATTTGTACGATTGCACATGCAAATTTGTACTACAACACATGATGTGCAAATTTGTATGATTGCACATGCAAATTTGTACTACAACACATGATGTGCAAATTTGTATGATTGCACATGCAAATTTGTACTACAACACATGATGTGCAAATTTGTACACATACATAAAATAATAATGTTTCCACTGAATCAGGAAGAATAGAAAAATCTCACAGATGAGCTAGTGCTGTGTTACATAGCATTTAAAAGTGACTGAACGTATACCAACATGGTCTTATTCCAAGGAACTGTGTATTATGATAGGAAACTCGCACAGCTGGGCTAGAACCACAGTAGATTGTGATTAATCGCTACCTTAGAATTACAAAGTTCTATCTTCTCAGTACCTAGTTTGTGAAATATGACATAAACATTTTTGAGTTTCACAAAATGTCAAGCTTTTTTAAATACAATTCTTTGAATGTCTTGATAACGACTCCAAATGATCTTATGAGTTTGGCACAGCAGATGGAACATTTGGTTTCTAACCTCGTGGTCTTAATAAATCAAAATGGTAAAAAATGTCAAATACAACTTTGTAATTCTGAGGTAGCATAATATTGAATGAACGTGTACCAACATTTTTTTCAAACTTTTGGAGCTGTGTAATTTGGTTTGTGCTCCACATGCTTGATATGTGCACTGAAGTTTGTACTTTCATATTCTTACTTGAGTTGGTAGAAGAATACATTTATGCTTGTCATATGTTTACTTGACTGTGCAAGTCAAAATGTTCACTACCTCTCTTGATTTCTTACTAGAACGTACAATTTTAGAGGAATGCCATTACGAAATTATAGGATGGATGAGGAGTGACCTCACTGCATATTTCAAGCACTTCAGCTATCATTTTGATACTTCTTGTGTGCTACTTTTTTATTCAAGTCAACTTTCAACTTTTTTCTGTACCTAAACAGACAGCTCGGGACATTTGTCTCTTGGATGTATTCTTTTTGCTTTCATTACTCGAGTGAGCATCATTGATTCCATGGCAAAGAAACAACTTTAGGAACAGAAAAAATGAATACTGAAAAATGACAATCTGGCAACACTTGTGTGTTTATTCTATATTCTTGAAGATGATTGAAAATCTCTTAATATATTTTAGTTGCTCTCTTATTTGATTTTACTCAAATCAGCCGAATCTTTTTGACTTGATTTAGTGCATAAAAAGCAAAGTGCAAATTCATTATTTTTATGTTAAGGTCATTCACAAAATATAAAAGTAATTTTAACATTCTATTGTCGCAAGTTTTTCAGACTTCTCCAGGACTTGGTCAATGTAGATCTACACTTGTAATATCCATGCATTCCATTGTTCATCAGTCTAGTCTTGTGTTGTGATTCAACTCATTTCCAAGCAGTTTCTGTTCTGGGCTGTATATAAAATTCTTTTGGGAAAGAACATAGCCTACTGCTTGATTTCTGTTGACAGTTTCTTGCCAAAGTTAAAGTTTCGTCATATACAGCTGCATATGTTGATGGATCTGATTCTCAGGCTTTGTGGCAGAACAGGTTTTATCGAAAAAAGCGGAAAGTTTAGACTGAAAAGCTGATTGTTCACGTCTGCATCAGGAGAATGTTGAGGAAGATGCTGAAACAGCATGAAATAGTTGGTTACAGGATGCTTGGAGACCAAATGTTATGAAGCAGTACAGATCAAAGATTCTGCTAGTGATCTAAGATGAAAAAAGTAGATGTCTAATTATTGGAGACAACCCGTTTTGTCAAAAAGTCCTTCAACTATGTATCAAGCCTCTGTCAGAAGTTTTCATTCTGGGGGTTTCTAAGTACCGGAGTGAGATTTTTGCTCCTTGTCTTGTTGTGTTTTAAAATGTGTAATTTGAAAATATTTGGAGGTAAATGTGTGAATGATTTTACTGTATTTATATCAGGTTAGTATAGGTCTTTTTTTCCCCCCTCAACATCAGATTCCCAAGCGAAGTGTGGTGGCACACAGAATGAAACTTAGGTACAGTAGTGGCTTATTGATTATTGGAGTTCTTCACCGTCCCCCCCCCCCCCCCTTTTTTTTTTCCCCATTCCTCCCTGCCCCAGCCATGTAGAAATTGACGATATTCAAAGTTTATTAGACACCAGTTATCCTGGTCCTGGTTAATAGTTAAGCTCTCCACTGTTACGCACAGGAGACGTGTATTTGATTCCTGAGTGAAAGAGTTTTTTTTTTTTTTCTCAATTGTCTTTGGCTTTCTGCTGGGGTGCTTTATCCAGGGATGCCAAATCTCCGGGGGGGGGGGGGGGGGGGGGTTTCGGTTTTTTTCACCCGTTTGAAATTTTCCTGTCTGCACTGACATAAGGTTCTTCTCAAGACAGAAATAATGTTATTGAAGTGATGCAACATAGGCCCCATGCACTTGCTTAGGAAAGGGGAGAGGTAAGAGAGATGTTTTTGTTTTCTCATTTTAAAACTTCACAAAGTTTGTTTTAGTTTTAGGTGAGATGTGATTCTCCGCTTATTTTCAGGGTTTTTAAAAAAAAAATCATTTGGCATCCTTGTTTATCACTCTCGGTCCCAGTTTGGCTCCAGCTGGCAAAGTCAAAGCTGACTTGAAGTAGCTCACCTCCTACACGATCTGATTTTTTTTTATGGGAGGTGTGTGTGAAACATGTACAACTGGTCAATCATAAAAGGGAGGTGATGTGGTGGGAACACATATATGTGTATAAGACTCAGAGACTGTGGTTCTCTTTGTGTAGAGCTGTAGAGGTTTCTGCTTGATTTGGGGTGGGTTTTTTTTTGTTTTTTTAAGAATGGACCTTGATTATTATTTGTTGTCCTTACTTTTGCATGTTATTTCACAGATTTTGTTCCTTGTCACTGCCTGTGTTTCCTGTATCACCTTAAAGTAAAGGAGTAATTACTTTATCTTATTTTGTCCAAACATTTGATTATTTTAAGCTTGTTACATTTGTCTATACCTGGTTTGTTTGTTTGTTGTTACCACTCCCTTCCTCCCTTCTCACCTGCCTCTTTACAACCTTTCCCTCCCATTTCATTTTTAAAAATTCTAGTAATATTATTAGTGTTAAATTTTCTCTCTCAGAACTTCCTCTGTACCCCCAGATTTTCACCCTCAATTTTTTAATGTGTTTGTTCCCTTCTCCATTTCCTCCCCATCATTCGAATAAAGAAATCCATCACCCTGTTAACATTCTTCACATTGATCAGAACACAATCCATGAGACTCTTGGTTTCACAATCTTTTCAGGTGCTCAGCATTCAGTATAGTACCTTTGTGGAGGGATTATTTTTTTTAATGGAGTGTCTCCATCTGTCTGTTGAGATGTGGTATCCTTCTCAGTCTGAATTGTCCTTTTGTCTAAATTATGTCAGTGGAAGCGCTTAACATTTATCATTAAAAAATTTTAATAGAATTTACTTTCTGCAAAAATGCCAACTACCAAATTAATTACAGTGGAGTCTGCTTAAACCGAAATCTACAGTGGCGTAGGATTTTCTTCGGTTTTGCCATGTTTTCGGTTTAGAGAGATTGCTGAAATAGCAACGAAAAAACAAATCAAGGTTTCTATGTCTTTTGATTTACCGCTATTTTCAGATTAATTGTGTTCGGTTTAAGTTTAATCAGACTCCACTCTATATTTTGACGGATTCATGGGTGGAGGGGTGTCAGATAGAGTGGTAAATGTTTACATTCTTTTTCTCGGGTCAAGGGGGGTGATTGGGGGTAAGGATCTGTTTGGCTTCATCACTCATGAAGTAAGATAAAGTATAGCCCCCTACCCCACGTTTGGAACTGCTTGGCATAGAGCACAACATCTGGGGTCACAATTTGGTTGTTGTAAATTTTTTTTTGACAGGATCAGGAAACTATGGGCTGTGATGGTCTTGATGCAGGGAGACACGAAAGGATAGGGTGTGGGTGGAGGAGGGGGAGGCTAATTTTGCTTTGGACACTGACGGATGAATGTCCTGTGCTTTGTGCTGAGTGTGTATAAGTCTGCCTCATCTCCCAAGTTCTGCTCTCACTGCAGCTTTAGTTGTTGTGATATATGCGAATAAGTGATTTTCTCACACAGCCCGAGATGTTTTGACCTGCGAATAAAGGGATTTAAAGCTATTGTATTGTTGTCACACTAACTTAGATGTTTTGACCTGTTAATAAAGGACAGCTTGTGTGGTTATGTGAGCATGGTTGGACAAGCTCTAACTGTGTAAAGTAGTAATTTATTTTGGTCGCTGAATAAGCGATCGGGCTTATGGTAACATGAACGTTGTAATAGTTACATGTCAAGCACTGATTATGTAGAATATAATCTTTTATAAAATATGAAGATAAACTTGTATCTATTTGGTTTTCTCCTAAAATCCTGTTTTAATCTACCCAAGAACTTGATCACATTGTAGGCTCAGTTGGTATCAATCTTGGCTATGGTATGAATGGCTCAGATTCAAGCCTCTAAAAAGGCTCTCTTTAAGGCTCCCTGCCTACTTGACTGTGTCTTTACGACGGAAGAGGTTATATTTGGAAGTCTGGCCTCTTTAATAGCAAGCATGTGTTTAAAGGGGCATTAATCCAATTCAAGTTTTTTTTAACAAGCACTCTACGCTAAAGACTGCACATTGTTAAAAAGAAGTTACTCTGATAAAAGATGTGAATATTTCTTTTGATGCGTAAAGCTTTTGCGCTTTTTTTTGTCTTATGAAGAATGTCTATTTTGGATGTAATGCTTTTAAAAGGTCTTTGTCGTTGTTGAAAGTTGCTGTTTAATAAATAAAAACCCATGTGATGAGTTGTTCGTCAGACTGAAGAAGTTAATCAAGCCATTCTCATTTCTGGTTCTTACATTCATGGTTCATAGGTTCATAGATGAAGACCAGTGTGGAGAGCGATAAAATGCACGATCTCAAAATTATTGAATTTTTGCATTACACATGTGTCCTGCTTCTGTAGTTTTACTCTTTAAACCTATCCGTACGTCATGTTTTACTATCGTATCTATATGACGTGGGCAACTGTATGCCACCACTTTCTAAAGAGGAAATTTACTCGTTAATCCAATCCGTACGCTTTGCATAGCAGTCTGTCAAAATGATTTTTTTAGAAATTCTGAAAGTTTTAAAGAGATCTTCGCACTAGAAGTATTTTAAAATGTGAAGAATACCACCCCAGGGATACAAAATGACCCCAGAGCGTACGGATAGGGTTAAAAATTGTTGAACTGTACAGCAGGCTCTCTTTTACGTTTGGAACACTTTTTTTAACAAGAGAAATATAAAAATTATGACATGTTCTAATTTCTAGAATTTGAGATTTGATTTTCTCTGAATCTGAAAATAGGACTTTGCATACTTTGATTGTTTTCCCTTTGTGGTTTTGAGAATCGAGATGTGAATACTGGTTTGTATTTCACTTCTCCTCTGTTTTCAGTAAAATCTAAATTGTGTGGTCGAGGACATAAAACAAGAACAATATTTATCTTTCCCTCAGCTTATAGTTCAAGGACAATCACTTATGTATGTGTATCGGTACTTGTTGTGATTTCAGAAAGAAAATTGTTCCCCTCTCAGCACTTCTTCATTGTCATTGATTCTGCTATGCTTTGAACTGACTGAAGTTACTGAAGCAGAGATACCCCTTTAAATAAAAAAAGAAATCAGTTCTTTTGTTAACTTTTCTTGAGAGCTCAGCAGAATCCTTTATTATGTGAGTGTGTCTTTGTGAGACTGTAATTGTTTTGTTTTCATCCTATGTACGCTCTATGTTGCTGAAAATATGGCTTTATTGATGCTGAAAGTGATAGAGATCAATTATGTCAGTGTAAAGTATTTACTATGAGATGTATTGGCCTACATGTAATCATAACGCCTTAATGGAGTAGCCCAATTGAATTAATTTGTATGAATAAAATGCAGTTGTTTTAGATTATGAGATCTTGAAATTCTGTATCAGAAATATCGGTGGTGAAATGGTTAAGACTTATGCTATTACGCGCAGAACATTCTCGTGCGGGGAAGTTATTTTGCTGGAAAGCTGGGTCCCTTTCAGTACTTTCAGCCTGGGTTTGCCATTAGTGGCCAGGTTAAAGGAGCCCATCTCCTCAATTATGTAGATATTGTGTGGATGGGGGCGTAAAATGCTGACATAAAAGAAATACAATGCATAGTGGTGGTAAAGCAGTCAAGGGTTTTTCATATCCTATTTGACAGACATCTGTGGTGTTGCAGTTAGGCGATTCGCTGTCACATGCTGAAGACCAGAGGTTGATTCCAGATTAGGGAGAATTTTTATTGACTATATCTGCCTTTCTTGCAGGGTTGTTGTATCCCTCTCTGCCCAGGTACGCCCTGACAGGCAGGGTCGGAAGACCACCTCCCAACTGATCTAAATTGTGTCACTAAGGGTGTAAAAACACACACTGAATATATATTTTGTATCTTTAAAGCATCCCAGCTGTGGGTTTTTAAAGCCAAAATCTTTTCCTTTGACCACTGGTCATTCCAGCTTCTCTGTCTGAGACCTGTTCTCTTACGTGCATGGTGGCTGGGTGATGATCTGTTGTAGGTGTCTTGGGGTTCTGTTTTTATCACATGCTGGGTGTATGTATGAAGGATCTGTTGTTGCTTTGGAGCAGACAATATCACAGCACTCATCTTATTAGTAATTATATTAGTATTGATTGACAAGCAATGAGTGTGTAAAGTACTATCTTATTAGTGTAGTAAAAAGAACATTATTATTTAATGTTTGTTTTATTTTCCCTCAAGTTCTTTTTTTTTAATCCTCTTTTTTTTTGGTAAGTGTTTTTTACGGCGCTCGCAACTGCATAAGGTCATATGAGCGCGCGGGACACACCTAATATTTTCAATTGGTAGGAAATTTTGATTTTTGCCCGGGTGGCGGCCGAAGCCTACTCTTTTCGATTTTATACCACCATGACCAAGGGATCTTTAACGTGCGCAACTTGCACACGGGCCCTCCGAGATTTTTCTCCCTTGTCCGAGAAGGCAAGGTGTAGATCTTTCCCACCAGAAGATCAGGGGTGTGGCAGAAAGACAGCAGTTAGGAGGATCCAAGGAGTAGCAGTAGAAAGGCTGCAGAAAGAGTCAGGAGCCCAGAGGAGGGGGCAAAGGAGGTGAGGGGGTGGGGGCAGAAAGTGGAAACGAAAGCAGACAACAGAACATTGCTAGAGAGCAGGAAAGGAGGTGAAAGGAGACAATTTTAGAGAAGAAAATTTTTTGGTCGCTACCCGGATTCGAACCCGGGACCTTTGAACGAGAGGCCAACACCTTAACCTCTAGGCCACGAGAGCCCCCTTTTATCCTCTCAAGATCTTTGCAAATTTTCTTTTGTTTATTTATGGAGAAGTAGAAGAACATTTCGGCTGTTTCTTCTTGCCTTCATGTGTGCACACAACAGTGTTTGAGTTTGTGAAAGGAATGATGTGCATCAGACCAGGTGTGTCCCCTGAAAAATGCTTAGAAGAGCATTCTTCTGTGGCGAAAACTGTTGTTGATGTTCGTTTTTGTTGTTTTCTTTTTCATCACAATACATGTATTCACAGTGCCACCTGTTTTTTTGCATCAGTTTATTATACTAGTGTGTGCTTTGCTTAATTTTATGTGTGTCTGATATACGTGTTGCCTTTGATGAATTATCCTTGCAAGGTGCAATAAACATACCTTCATTCATCATGAATTCTTTTTCATTTTGAGGTCAAGGACTGATAGCTGTACAAAAGTAGAGTTAGGATGGCATTTGGTGGATGGTATTACTTTTTTCTTAATATTGTTTGACCTCACCCATCATGTCTGTGGTGCAGTTGTTAGGCTCCTCGCCTTTGCAAGCAGAAGATGCGAGTTTGATTTTTCGATTTGGGAAGTTATTTATGATGAAGTATCACTGAGAAGCAGATTCAAAGCAGCCGGCCTCTTAAATATGTAAACGTTTCAATTACTATTTTATGGGACATGAAAAGTGGAAATTGGATCTCCTGATGGGTTTGTTTGTTTTTTTTTGTCTTGAGAATCCTCAAGCCGTCCTGATGGAAAGTTTCAGAAATAAAATTATTGGTTGTAAGTGTCTAATATTGTATGTTTCATGAGCAATTACAGACTTCAATGTCATGAGCAAATATTTTAGACCTCATTGTTATGAAAAAATTACAGGCTTTGTGTTTTGGACTTTGGCTCATTTGTATTTTTATCTCAAGGTCAAATCGGTTACAGAGAAAATTGACATAATTTTTCTGAAAACTTGGAATGGGTTCCATATTAAAGGATAGACGTTTATATTTAAAATGACATATATCTTAATAAAGAAAGACATAAATTTTTTTAACCCCAATGAAAAGAGACTCCTTCAGTAGTAAAACTGCTCATTTCAACAGTTTTCAAAATCCATGTGATTTTTTTTAGTCCGTTATGTTTTTAAAATTAAAAAAACTGGAGTCTCAGTCACTCGGCCAGGGAGCTCCCGAGAAAGGGAAGTTTTGAAAGAAAGTACATAATATGTACTCATGTTGAAGTGTCTGCTTATTATGACCCTCTTAACATTTCATTTTTATTTTAATCACACAAATCGAAAATTCAAGATATAAAAAAGACATATTTCTGTATTTCTTTCTTCATAGAGGCATAATATAAAACAGATGAAGCTCGGAGAATGTTATATTTGAAGACTAATTAATCATTTCAACGAACTGCCTGCTGCCTTAGCTGTGTGCAATATGCATCATAAGCGTAGCAAAATTGTATAACATTTCCTGTACATTACATTATTAGTATTACATGACATTGTACTTTTGTATGTCAAGTACTGAAGCTGCAAGAGGCCCAAGAATTTGAGAACATTGCGAAAAAGATTGCATAAAACCTTAAACACACAAGAAATTTGAAAATGTCCTTGTATGTTGGGGTTTCGTACAACTTTTTTTTGTGTGATTTGTACTGTACATTTTGTGTTTACACATAAGTCATGCATTTATGTGTATTCATTTTGTCCTGTATATTTTTATGATAATGTGTCGTTATTTATTCAAATACAATGGAGGTGTCATTTCAAAAAGATGATTGCTGTTGGGTTAGAAATGTTTGTGAAAGATAATTGTTTTAATAATTTCCTTCACCTTATCACCAATAAACTTGATCAGATGAAATTGGTACTTATTCTTTGTAATGTAGTTTTCTGCCCTCTGAATATACAGGTAGTACTAGTATAGAGGCATGCTGACTGCTGTTTGCTTCATGCCTGGCTTTCTTTTATGGTTATTTACTGATAAAAAAAGAGGACTGTTCTGTAAAATTATGTTTTATTGTTGCTATTCATAAGAGCAGAAAAGGCTCCTTTTCGAGTTTTATTTTAAAAGACAGTATATCCAGTTTTGTAAAATGTTCAGGAGAGCCAAAAAAATACAAACCAACTCACCTTTCCCTTCCAACAGCCAGTTGATCTGAATGTCATCAAAAACACTTTCCCCACCTTATCTACTAAGGTGTTGATGACTATGGCAGAAATGTGCGTCTTGTTTTAAACTATTAGGTGGAGTCGATAAACCAATTTCCTACAAAACTGGATATATTTAAATACTGTCATTTGGAATAAAGCTCCAGTCTTTTCCTGAGAAGAAGTGCCTTTTGATACGGTATTTTATTTTTATAAAAATGATAAATTACATTACAACTTCAAAAATATTATTAAATTAGTATTAGCCTACATGAAAAGAATCTGGAGTTAATGATCTTTTATCCTAGTTTTTCAAAATCACGACATCCAACTCCAACGCATCATAGAAAATCAAAAGTATATAAATTTCTAAAAAGGCTGTTTTATTTTTTCAATGGATGGCCAATGAATGACCATCGTTGTGTCAATCTTTGCTTAGAACAACGTGCCACTGTGCTCAGTACCAGCATCATACTGGTCTGTGGTGCGGATGACCCTGATTCAGGTCCACACTATGGTGTCTTGTGACTGTGGGTGGTCTGATCAGTGTTTTGGGCTCTCCATCTACTTATGTGCATGTCAACCTTTTTTTTTTACAGCCAGAGCCCACTTTCGCCACATTTAAGTATTTTAAGAGGCTAAAAGTAAAATGTTCATACCGCCCTCCTATGTAGGCTACTTCCAAGTGGAGCATTAAATAAACCTGTCACTCCCAGGGTGACTTCCACTGCTTTGCTAAATTGCCAAGTCATCCGTTTCGTCGCTGTCGCAAAGAATCCACTGAAGACCGAATTCTAAGAATGTTCAATTTTTACACCCTCCCAGAGCAATATATATCAAAGATGCACCTTCAACATTGCCGAAAATGCAATTCAATGCAATGGCCAAGGCTTTCAAGTTTTGGGCTTTTCTGGATGATTCCTGATAGTGATAGGTACAACACAACATAAATTAATTTTTTGTCTCAGGTGTAAAAAGTGCCTGATCGGCTTAATATTTTAATTTATAGGGATTGCTTGTGACAGCGACGAATACAGGGTGATGAAAAAAAACTTTGGTTTTTTTTCTGAATATCTCGCTCAAAAATTGTTCTAGAATGCTGTAATGTGGAACAGACATAATTCATTCAAAAGTGGTTTGTTTAATATAAAATCCACAAAGAAGAAACGTGTTTTGAAAACACAACGGCTAAAAGAAAAAAGCACCCAAAAACGCAAAGTTCGCCAATGTTTAAAAATCTTGTTAAGGAAGTAGTGAAAAGATTGTTGACCTTTTTCTTTATTTTCTCTTTGACATTAATTTTCAATCCCTGTGACATTTAAACAATATTTAATTTCTTTTACAGAGATTAAAAAACCTAATGATTTCATTCTGAAATTAGTAGAAGCAGTGCTTCACATTCCCTCCTTTGGACTCGACTCATTTTTAATGCTTCGTTCGAAATGTTCAGTGGCGCCCTAACACCTGGACCAGCTAAGCCATGCGTGTTTTTTTCGTAGAGGTTTTACGGCGCTCGCAACAGCATAAGGTCATGTATGAAAGCCACATACACAGTACATGTTCACTAAGAAGTGGCCTCTAGAGACAATAGAGTGGGGGTGCCCCGTAGAAAGCATTTTTGGAGTTAACATATCCCGCAGGGTGAAAATGGGCTTTGTGCTAAACCCAATGTCTTTGAGGAAATGATCCCTTTTTACAACAAGACAATCGAGGAATCATGAACACATTGCCACTGATCCATGCCATCTCAGCCAAGCGAAGATGAGCATGGTATAGTCGTAGGTTAAGATCTGCCATGAGAATGCAGACTGTTGATGTGTAGGAAAGTCCTAGCGGCAGATCAACCACGGACAGACGTCTCATGGGACTCGGCTACTGAAATCTGCATTCTGGTGACGTTTAAAGGGCTGAGCATGGTGCGTGTTTGACCTGAAGTGGTCATTTTTTAAAGAACTTTTTAGTTCTGATTCACTATAGATCCAAACTGACGGAACTTCTCTACTCATGACGCCAAAGGTCTTGAGGGCACCTAAGCATTCTCTCCATGCCGTGCGCAGAACTTATGATTTATGTTAGGGATGGTGAGTTCGTGGAGAGATAATTTTCGCCCGAAAAGCTCTCTGCTCTTTACTAAACGTAATTTGGGAAAAATAATGTCTGCAGACTTCTGTTGACTTGTTAGATTGCTGTAGCTTGCAATATGGCGCGATTGTTGCAACTTTTAGTGGTAGGCCTAATGCGAAATGGTGCGTCATGCTATGAAATAATGGCGACAAGGTTGAAAATGGGTTGTTTTTTTAATGCACTATTTAGAGCAAAACGATTCAGTGGATTTTTATTTAAAATACATATCAGACAAATGCCTTTTGGCTTCCAAACGTTATGTTCAAATCTGAAACGCAAAACTTCAGTAAGGAGGAAGATATTTACAAAACAAGTTGTGAAGTTTTTTTTGGATCACCCTGTATATAGTGTACAATAATGTCAATATTCCTCAGGTGAGAAAACGCTGTTCTCCTTTTTTTTGTCACTTTCAGCTTTGTGGGAAATGGGACTCCAGTCCGAAAGTCCCGCCTTTTACTTTTAAATGACTGCAATAAAAACATTTATAGTGTTGAAAGGGGTGATGCTGGTGTAACACTTAGGCACTTAACCACCACAGCCAAAAGACCTCAGAATGATTCTCGTGTCAAGAGAATGTTTATCGAGTGTACTCAAGAGTTTCTGCTGGTTTTCTGCTGAGGTGTTGTATCCCCTTTTAGTTTTAGTCTTTTTTAGTCTTAGCCTGGGTTGGCCTTGACAAAGTTGAAGCCTGAACTGTGTCGATGGGGGCATAAAAACACCTATTATGAAAAAGTTGTGTATCATAACATACACCTACCGAGGCACCCTCCAACCACCCACATCAAACTTTGAAACTGAGACTGAGAACACTTATATGTTTGTTGGGGGGAAACCCTTACTTTTACTTTTAGACGGTGTTTTAAAGCACTTGCAACACAATTACATGAAGGTCATATTATAAGTGCCAAAGATTAGAGATGTTACAGGAGAGACACAAACCAAACACAAAAAAAAGGAGGCAAGACAAGGACCAAAAATGTTTGAAAGAAAAGAAGGAAAAAAACCCACATCACAGCATCCACTGACCACTCGTTAGAGTAAACACTGGATGGTTCACAGGTTGACTACGTTAGGCTCTTTGCTGTTACATGATACAGAATATTTGGTTTCAATTTCATGATTGGGGAGCTATTTCATCGAGTACCTTCGTCTGTTTCCTGGGATGATGTACCATCACCGTTTCTGATGAAGCGGAAAGGCACGTTGCTGTTACATGCAGTAGACCCGAATTTGATACGCTGGTGGGGAAACGTTTTTATTGAGTATCTCAGTCTTTCTGCTGGGATGATGCTGTATCCCTCTCTGTCTCAGCCTGGGTTGGCCCTCACAGACAGGGTCGAAAGCCCGCCTCATAGATCATCTTAAGTGTGTCAAAGGGGGCATTTGCACCTAGAACTAGAACCCACATTTAAAGAAAAAAAAATGTACGCTACTGTATTATCTCACTCAGCCCCGCTTTGTACTGACAGATAAGGCTGAAGCAGCCTGCCTTCCGAATTATAAATCTAAATTGTGTTGACGGATGCATAGACATTTACAGGGTTTACAGGGATTTTTTCAAACAATTGGGAGTAGGAGATTTTTTAAAATTTTTTTTTTATATTTTCACACAAAAATAAGTCACAAACTTTTTAAAATAAAAGACAGTCCTAACTGATGATGTAAAGAGCTCACCATCATTCTCGCCATTCGACCAACTTTCTTCAATAAAGTACATAATATACGAAACAGCAGAAGTGGGCCCGGAAGACATATATAAACTCACCAAGCAACAGGTATTTTTCATCTCTTTATTTTCATAAAAAGCAAAACAATCACTCATTAAATCACGTCATTACAATCAAAAAGATGAAAGCTATTTTATTCTCACACTTTATTTTATAAATAATCTTATTCATTTACTGCGATTTACTAACTACACCTTTTTTCAAAGACACTATCTCTTCAACTTCAAAGGAGCATTTCTCATTACTTTTTCATATTAAAAAACAAAAACATTCCCACCTTTTATCCATGAATATTTTTATGAGTTACATGATTTTGTATCCTCTCATACAGGATCTATAATATATTTTTATATCTTTTTGCATGGGGGAAGTTTAGAAGTCACAGACTGACTAATCAAAATTGAAGACTGTATTTAGGAAAAATAAAAGTCAATAAATCACTACAAGGTAAACACTAAACACCAAATTTTTCCACAGTACGAACCACGTGTATTCCACTCAGGAAAAGGCCAAAGTGGCAATCTCTCGTCAAAACTCAAGAATACCACTGACCAATTCCTCCCTGGAAACAAACATTTTCATAACATGTCTCTTATATGTGTTAAGTCCTGCCTGGTGCAAAAGGCATATATATATATAAGAATATATTATTATTAGGTGATCACTGAATTGATTCATCAAAAACATTGAGAAGGGAATTAAGAATTCACTTTCAGTCTCTTTGAAAAGGGCATTATACAGTGGAGTCCACTGGATCCCTTATAGTATAGTTATTATAACGAGAATCCTGGTATAAAGCACATTTCGCATCGGTCTCTTCCCTCTCATTATAACAGGATTCCACTGTATATGTTATCAAAAGCAAAATTGCAAAACATCTCTAAGAGACTGCAATGTTTATAATTTATATGATCACATCAGCTAATAATTTTCAAAAATATTTACTAATAAAACAGTTTCATACTCTGCCAAAAGTTATTTAAGCGAATACAAAAAATGAGAGTAGCTCTGTCCATGCAAAATGCTGAAACGTTTGCCCTTTTTTTCAAATTTAACTAGATTCTATTTGTTAGGAATGATGCAGTTACACTCAGTGGCCAACACTAATGGCACTATGAGACAACATAATAATAATAGACGCATATTATATGTGAGGGGCTCCCAGAAAACTCATCGAAAGATGCACGAGGTTAAAAATGCACCTGAGTGAAACTTTATAAATAATACATTATATCTTTATAATCTGAATGAGGCAATTTTTTTCGCAATCATTGAAAGATAGATAATTTTACATCTTTGATTAAAGAAATTTTGAAAAATACTGTTCCAAATAACTTTCTTGCCTTTCTTAACTTTCTAAAAAAATTAATTTTGATACCATACATCAAAAACATCTAACTAAAATTAGAAACTGTCAAGACAACCCCCTACTATAACTAACAAGAGAATGTAAGAGTGTGTAAGAGAATTTTCGTGTGCTCATGAATTTAAATAGTAGTGACGGAAAACAACTCTTGTGGCCTCATCTGTAAAAAGTTTCAAAAATTTTTCTCAAAACTTCCGGATACCAATACCTGCATAATTTTTCACAAAAAGAACCAATTGCTACAAATAAAGTGCAAAAGGGCAAAGAAAAATTCTAAGTCTTTCAAAATGCGAAATTGTTAAGTTTCGAAAAAGCTTGTTTTCGGATGGGTTTTCTCAGAGCCACTCACAGAGACAAAATCCAATTAAAATCAAATCTGAGCCATACATGATAATATTTGAAACATAATATGGATTACATGAAAAGTGAAAACACTTTCTATTATTATAACAAATAAATGAAAGCCATAACAAGATAAAATGCTACATTGGTAGACCTACGGTATATGAATGTGATAACAAGGAAAAAATCATTCATTTGAATATTTACTATGTACAAACTCCAACAAACGGCCTGGAGAGACAAAGTCCAAGCCCCCACATCATGCTGCCTGCAAGCTGCCCCAGTCACTGAACACAGAGTCAGAGTATAATTGTGCGCTTGGAACTGGGAAAAGGGTCCACATGTCATGCAAAGTCAATAGAAAATCCAAAAACAGAGGGAAAACTATCCACAAGATTTTAACACTTCAGTGACACATAAATTCATAAGTTTCTTTACCTGACTTACTATAGGAATCTAATGAAAGTACAACAAACTCATCTGAGCCCAGAACATCAATCACTCACGAGATAGTAGATTTTATACAATTCTATTAAAGTTCCCACTGTCAAATCCTTTGGTAGATAAAAACAAAAGTTCAAAAACTCTTGTACAAACAGTTGGTTTTTTTAAAGTGACATATATTAACTTAAACTTGATGCACAAAAAGGGAGTATTTGATTTTGAAGGTCTTTACTTTTACTGAAAATGTCTCCTTACCTTAGCCTGCACTCACAAGAGGCTCTATTCTACATATATATGACTTTTTTTTTAAGTCAAATGTTAAGGAGCAAGAAGATGCCCCAAAATGGATATAAAAAAACAATGCTATACATGTGGATCCTTGTCCCAAGCACACACAAATTACCTGATGGTGGATAATTAAACTAACCATAGAGATTAAATACTTTTGGTAAGTTAGGCACACTGCCTTTAATTAATTAAACTAACAATTAAACTCCCTGGCTCCTATGAGAAATCTAAATCTGTCAAAAATCTGTCTAAAAGGTAAGAACCATCTTCCTCCCAAAGTTTGGATTGCTCCTCAGAACTGTATAAGGTATTTAGATCAATAGCACCCTCGTCAGAACCATAACCATGATCGGAGGTTTTATGACTGTGAACAGAATCGCTGCTAATAGTTCTACCAGAGGACAGCCTGCTCGTATCACACACCTCTTTAGGACCAGCCGTCACACTGCAACTATAGTTGTTGGCACCTGATGTGAGTTCACAAAGGTCTGGTGGAAAACCAATATTTGTGAGAAGATCTACAGAGGTATTGTCACCAGCATCAGCAATACCTGTGAGAGTCCCTGATAACATGTTGCTTTGCTCGTTAAAGAGGTCTTCTAAACAAAGGTTTGAGCAAGAAGGAATAGGTTCAGAACTAATTGTGCTTGATGAGTACTCATTGGTGGAATTAATCTTTGAAGGTGTTAGAAGACCATTACAAGAGCTGTTGTTCAGATCATCTAAGAAATCTAGCGATGGGTCAAATTCACTCACAAAATTTACTTGCTCACCAGAGTTAGAACTGATGTTGCCTAACCCTGAAGTTTCAACCAAAGCAGCAGGACTATAACTGTCAATATTGACAGTATTGGTAGGACTAGTAGGAGTGATTTCTGAGGATGGCTGTGAACCTTGAACTTTTAGATTGCCACAGTTCAGGGAAGTTGCTACTTCACAGGAGGATACCTCACAAGGTGTGCTATTAACCTCAGTACCTGACTTCAACAAAGAAAGGGGCTGTCCCTGCAGCAGCAAGTTGAGTTCTTCCTGGGAGATGTTAATGTAAACAGGGGGTGACTGAACAGCAACGGGGGGCTGGACTGTTTCTTTTGTAGCCACAGGAGGAAATGGAGGGGGAGGGGCATTGCTGGGGGAAGGTGGAACTGCTTCACATGCTGACACTTCTTTGCTCTTTTGAGAGTTCAAGTTTTTTCTCACTTTTTCCAGAGCCTTTTGTTTTGCCATTAGCTTTTTACAAAATGTAGAAATCACAGCCACTGATGCTGGAGTAACAGAAGCACTTTCAGCGGGCTTTAAATTATTTTCAAGACTAGGTGGCACTGGTTCTGTGGAATATTTGCTTAAATTATTTAATTTGGGATGTTTGGAAGCTGACCCTTCATTTTCTTTGCCCACACTTGGGCTTTTGTGAGATCTTTTCAAACCTTTCCGAAAGTTGTTACTACTGAAGTTCTCAATAGCAGACAATGTTGAACCTAGGCATGTTTTAATGTCTTGCAATAAGGACTGATTAATTTCAGCCTTTAATTCATCAGTCTTGGAAGCAGCGTCCAAAACGGCAGTGTGGACACCAGTGACTTTCCCCAGTAAGCTGGTCAGTGTGGTCAACAAGAACAGCTCCTTGTACTTTCCTTCCCCCCACAGTCTGGCCTCCTCCTCCAGCTCCAGTGGGAACCGACCTTCTCCCCTCAAGTGTCTCTCCAGAGCCTCATACTTCTGAAGCAAAACCTCTTTAGTGTCTTTAGGATTGGCGGTTGGATTTTTCCAAGCAAGCCCTACTTCTGAATCCCACCACAAGGGCTTGCACGCCGCACCCCACACAGTTTCTTGCCCTCTGCCTTTACCCACCGCCTCTCTCGACAGAAAGCGTACAGCGAAATCAAGCCAAGCTTTTTCACTGCTGGTCGGGTCTCTCTTGGAGCCCTGAGTGTCTATCGGCCAGTTAAACTGACACGGGCACAAATTGCTGCAGCTCATTCTGGCTGCAGGCAGAGTCAACGTGCTGAGCACAAGTCACACCAAACTCAGTTGGATTGACAAAAAGTTCACTGTCTCGTGTAATGTCAGAGTAGTAATCACTTCCTGGGAACGCTGTGAAATTGATCGCTGAGATATCGCAGAAATCGTTGTGATCTAGCCTCCGTTGTGTACAGGGCAGACGGTGACGGTTTCCTTTTCTCTCTGGAGAATTCGCACATTCAAAAATGCAGTACAATGATAATAGTATGGGCAGAATGCTCAACAATCGTCTTGTGAGTTCAGTATCTTCGGGATACTTTACTCGGCCATGAAGAAATTCCCATAGCAGTAACCCAAAGGTCCAAAGGTCTCCTGAAGTCTGCGCATTAGAAGAAAGACATTCGCTGACGACCAGAAACTCGGGACAAAAAGTGCCTGTAATCGGATTTTCTGTATTCGGCAGTACTACTTCTTGCTTCAAACTGAGAAGTCGCTTTCCCTTAAACGTCAGATGCTGTCCATTTCTCGGGCACTCTTGAGTGTGTCTCAAAGACGACCAAATGGACTTTTGAGGTTGTGATCTTTCAACTTGATGAAAGAAGTCTCTCTGTAAAGAGCCAACAAATTCCTGATACAACTCTTGTACCCCTGAAGGTTGATTCTCTGGAGAAACTTCTTGGATGTCCTGCAACAAAAATAGGATCTCTGAGCGTTGAATTGCGTTTGAACTTTCCAAAATCTGTTTGAAGACTCTTGCATGCCACACTTGCGGCTCTGATCCTTGTTGTCTGGAAAGCTTCTTCTGTATGACTTTTGATATGATTCTGTCTTTGAAGATCTCTTGAAGTGCTGATGCTTGTCTGTACAATTTGTTCGGAACCACTTTGACTTCTCCGCCTTGACACACTTTGAAATCGCCGTCCAACAACTCTTGCTGCATGGACCATTGATTCTCCTGTAGTGTGATCTGTGGTCTGATACGGTCGTCGTGTGAACGAAATTGCCAAGTTTGAGCCAGCAACAATTGGAAAAGGGACAAAACCGCACAATCCTGGGACTCTGAAGTACTTTGTTCCAATGGCTGCGTTGTAGCTTGACCTTCCTCTTTTCGCGAAATACTTTGTGATTCTTGTAATTGGGTTTGGACGGCTCGAGGACACCCCAAAGGGCACCCCAACTGATGTTGCTCAGCCATTGCGTCAGCACAAAGAAAAATAGCCAGTGCAACAAAGATGAGCTCGTTCCGAAGTAACAGCCGTATATCTGGTCCTAAAGGATGCAACACCTGTAAAGAAGAAACATTCAAATTATTAATGGTGATGGTGGAAGGCAGTTCAAAATGGGGGGGGGGGGGGGCTCTACCTTTACTTTTACCAATCAATGAAAGTCCAACTAGACGACCATGCTAAACAATAACAACAATACAATCAGTCAAACTATCATGAAGAATGAAGTGTAACAGCAGATATTATGGCAAAATGGCACAAGTGAGACACAAAAATAAGGCTGTTGGGAAATTGAAAGTGATAAAATAATTATGATTTAGATCAAAAAGTTACTGTTTTATGGCTCATCAGCACGTAGATCTATAAAGACCAACTCACTATTGTTTGTACAAAAAAGCACACACGAAAGAAGTGATTGAAATCCACAGCATCGAAAGGTAGATACGCACACACAGACATTAGTATTACATCAACAGAATCCCAACCTGAAAATGCTGTAACATGGTGTTTCATACCCTTTATAATGCTTTTTTTTTTTTACCTTTCTAAACTACATTGCAGATCTGTAAGAATTCCATAGAAGATTTCTAAGCAATTAAAAAAGTAGTACATGCATGAGCTAGCAGCTCATAGAAGTAGAAATTAGAAATTCCTATTGTTTGTAATTCAAGAGTTAACCATGCAAACCAACTGAAACAATATCGTGCCATGTCAGCAAATCTGTAAGCAGGCTTACATCTTTTCTTCTACTCTTCACAAGCTCCGAGACAAACGACAGTGAAACACTGATAAAGAAGAAGCCCAGCTAGCAAAAATAGTCCTTTATCATATACATCAGTAGTTTTTTATTTCAGTCAACACACATGCAGACAAACATACTTTTTCTCACATACATGCAGTCCTTTTAGGTCAGAGTAATAGGAATAGTACTACAATTTAGTAACTTATTTCTTCCCAAGAGAAGGAAAAAAGGAAGTTACCGATGTTTGCTGCTTCTCCCTTTTCCTACATCCATGACAAACTTTTGCATGTTATGTCCCAAAGAACATAAAAAAATTGCCCCCCCCCCCCCCCCCCCCCAAAAAGGCCTTTGTGGGTGTCATAAGGAAGAACATCCGAGTACCCCCCCCCTCCCCCAATTGACTACGAAATAGTTTCTCAATTGCTCCACACTGCGATTTGCCTCCGTGAAGCTCACTGTCACAATTATCTGCACGTGGTCTTCACTGTTTGAGAAGTAGCAGAAGCTTCCTTCATTAGCATATATGCAATTTCAGCATTGGAAAGCACTGCTGATGTTTGCACACAAGACACAAGTGCAATGTCCATAAATTGAATGGTTCGTTACTTCAGTCGTAAATAAGAAGGAAGAAGACTTGTTGGGGAAAAAAATGAAGAAGACTTGTTGGGAAAAAAAAATTGGTTCGTTACAGCTGTCAGTTTGTTATTGTATGTTCGTTAAATGCATTAAAATATAAATGACACAAAGAGAGAAAAAAAGGGGCACAGAAATTTGCTCTTTATTTCCATCAGTTTTGTACAGTGTTCTTTATCGTATGCTCTACTGTACCTTAATTCCAGTCGATTATCTACTTTCATATTGTCGCTGTCCAAAGAAAAATGAATCATTAGAATGGGCATAACTCCTATATTCGTAACTCCAATGATTTTCACTCATCCAGTGAGTACTGCAGGCTCAAATTAAGTTGCTCCTTCTTTCTTATCGAACACCTATCGTCCCGATCTCTCCTCCTTTTTTTAATGTTTGTTACTCTCTTGTATAACCCATCTATTCTTCTTCACTTGTACGACCTTATAGTGTTGTAAGTGCCATAAAACTCTGGCTAAAGCTAAAATAAAAGCGATGTCACGTACAGTCAAGCCCGCTCTAACAACAACCACCTGTCCTAACAACCACTTCCCACTCCCCCCACCCCACCCCCCTGCAATTTTCTTCTACATTATAAAGACACGGTACTTTCCAAGACACCCATCTGTCTAAGATATAACAGCTTTTTTCCTCCACAATAATATCGGCAGTCGTAATTGATAATTTCGACTCCTGTACTTCTATTTTCCTTACAACAACAGCTACAGCACCAATAAAAGAAAGACTAGTATAGAAGTTTAAACTAGAGCTAGAGTGACAATCTATAACGAAACTATTATATGTGTGGTTTGAGGTACACAAAGCCCCAGTCCGGGAAAGAAATCACTATAATAGAAAACTGTAGATACGGGTTGAAAGAGAAAGGACTGGGATAGAATAAAAGTTAGGGGTTGAGGGGATCATGAAACTTATACACTTAGGACTTAGGCCTCTTGATCTATCTATATCTTACAAACTAGATCTACATTACACACAACAAAATGAGGGTTGGGGCAATTTGGGGCGGGGGCCAGGGTTCCGGGGGTGAATCACGCAGGCTTCTCGTCCTGTTGTTTCCTGTACGCCTACGACTATGATAGCATAGCCTGTACACCCAGTGAGGAGGTCACATTGCAGGCCTACTTGTAGGGTCCTTGACACACACTAAACAGACTGATGAGGAAAGTAAGTCAGTTTCAAAAGCGAGTAGGCCTACAGTCAGATGCTGTCCAAGAATAAGAGGACCACAAATTGTCAAGGAGATTCTGAAAAGTGGTCATCAGGTGGTCCTCTTGGGCAGTATTATAAAAAATTATTATTATAATAACAGTAGAAAAAAAAGTCCGGCTCTACTTCTCCGAACGTTCGGGAAAATAAACTTGAACTCTATTTCTCCGAACGGTTTCCGTTCTCGAGATTTGTTGATAATAATTGCGAATGGAGTGGCCCGCATGTGTGTGTGTGTGTGTATGTATGTGAATGTGTGTGCGAGTGTGTGTGTGTGTGTCTGTGTCTGTGTGTGTGTAAGGAGTGAACGGGGCAGGGGGGGGGGGATTTTTTTTTTTACATGAAGGATTTTAGTTTTTGCTGGGTGACTAAAGGCAAAATAAGTTAGAATCTTCTGCCAAGATCGATCAGTCTTGTTTTCTCGCAGTACCTTTTGAAGGTAATTTTCAAATGAAGTGTATAGAATCTAGGCCTAGTCCGGGAATATTGCCCCAACCACAACTGAAGTATCTAGATCTAGATCTAGATCTAGCTCTAGAAATTGAATTCGATGCAAAAAATGCTACTGCCTCGTCCTTGCAGAATGGCAGAATGAAAAATGACGCCTCAGTCTCGCAAATAACCAAACATATCGAAAACGGGAACCGTTCGGAGAAATAGAGATCTAGAATCTAGAATTCAAGTTTATTTTCCTGAACGTTCAGAGAAATAGTCACTTCGAAAAAAAACAACCAAAGTCAAAAGGGGAGGATGGGGGTGTGTGCAATGGTTGTTTTTACTCTCTTCGACAGGGACATGGGTTCGTTGGAGTACAGATTTTGGCAATTGTCAAGATTTCCGCGTTTAATTCCGTTGTGCGTTTTTCATAGCCCCAGGTATGATAACATTTCTAATTCCTCAAAGAAAGGTGGATACTGGTAATTTGCCTTGACTGAATAAAGCCAAACATTTCAAATCTGCCCCCCCC